GCTCCTCCAGCTCCCTTGCCCCCCTTGCCCTTGCCAGGGCGGCGTCTCCCGCTAGGGGCAGACGCCGCACCGACCGACTCAAGACCAAGGAGGTCGGCCGTAGCAGCAGAGGCAACAGAGGGCAGCAGGGGGGAGGGGGAACACCCCTCAAAGATGGGGGTGCGCGAGTCACCTCGAGAGGCTCCTACAGCGACTATACTCTTCTCCGCTGCTAAGAGGGCCTTCTCGAGGAGATCGTCAGTGAGTGTGGTGGGACAGACTGAGAAAAAGTGGTCCCTGACTACACGAAGGGAGTCAGGAAGGCGAGTGACTAGGAAGTACAGAGTGATGTAAATGGGGGGGGGTTCTTAGCGCAGAAGTCAGCAGGGAGTGCAGCGCGGTAGCGAGTGTCACTAGTGCGGAGGTGCGTAATGAGGTCAGCCACGGTGGGAAAGGCAGCAAGGTCAGGGAAGAGGTACGGTAGCATGAGACGGCTCAGTGCAGCAGAGGCAGGGGAGGAGTAGCGCGCGACTACAGCGTCGTACAAGGTCTGAGCACTCTTGTACTGACTAAAGTGCGCACGCTCGGAGGTAGGGAGGTGGCGACGCACAGAAAGACGTGCAGCAGCGTCGCGCGTGGCCCACTGGGAGCGAACAGTGGCGTCAGCATCAGCAGCAGGGGCAGGGGAAGCGCCAGAGGTAAGGTCAAAGAGAGAGAGGGCGTCTGCCCTATCGCACTGTAAGAACAGCTGCAGGTCGTCTACCCAGACCTCAAAGTCAATGGCCCGACCCTCAGCGTCAAAAGCGAGGACACTAGGGGTAGCCATGACGACAGTAGCCTAGCAGTACTACCTGTAGGACAGGGGCAGTGCAGTGACAGGAGCGCTGCTCTCACCAGACAGGGCGGGTCGGGCAGCTCAGCAGCACAGCAACGCGGCTGCTCGGACGGCTCAGCAGCAACTGCGGTTCGGGCGGCTCGGGCGGCTCGGCTCCACAGCGGCTCAGGCGGCTCGAGCGGCTCGGGCGGGTCGGGCGGCTCGGCTCCTCAGCGGCTCAGGGGGCTCGGGCGACTCGGGCGGCTCGGGCGGGTCGGGCGGCTCGGGCAGGTCGGTCAGCTCGGACGGCTCGGGCGGCTCGGGCGGGTCGGGCAGCTCGGGTGGCGCGGGCGGTGTAGGGCCGTAGGGCCGCTGGTAGGGCTCGGGGCCGCAGCGAGAGGGGCGGCGGGGCCGCAGAGACGGGCGGCGGGGCCGCAGTGAGAGGCGGCGGGGCCGCAGCTAGAGAAGCGGCGGGGCCGCGGAGACGGGCGGCGGGGCCGCAGAGACGGGCGGCGGGGCCGAAGTGAGAGGCGGCGGGGCCGCGAAGACGGGCGGCGGGGCCGCTGAGATGGGCGGCGGGGCCGCAGTGAGAGGCGGCGGGGCCGCAGCGAGAGAGGCGGCGGGGTCGCGAAGACGGGCGGCGGGGCCGCTGAGACGGGCGGTGGGGCCGCAGGGAGAGGCGGCGGGGCCGCAGTTAGAGAGGCGGCGGGGCCGCAGAGACGGGCGGCGGGGCCGCAGAGACGGGCGGCGGGGCTGAAGTGAGAGGCGGCGGGGCCGCAGCGAGAGAGGCGGCGGGGCCGCGAAGACGGGCGGCGGGGCCGCTGAGACGGGCGGCGGGGCCGCAGTGAGAGGCGGCGGGGCCGCAGCGAGAGAGGCGGCGGGGCCGCGAAGACGGGCGGCTGGGCCGCTGCGACGGGTGGCGGGGCCGCCGTGAAGGGCGGCGGGGCCGCAACGAGAGAGGCGGCGGGGTCGCAGAAAAGGGCGGCGAGGCCGCTGAGACAGGCGGCGGGGACGCAGAAAAGGGCCGCTAGGGCGGCTCGACGAAGTGAGGGCCCGGAGCGCGACTCGGGCTGAGCGCGCTTCGGGCAGGAAAAAAAAAAAAAAACTCGATGTGGTGGGCCCTAAGCACAGTTCCCAAGGGGGAACCTGCTCGATACCATGAGAAGTTTAGAACGAGAATGAGATTGAACTATGAATGAAGCAAGTACAAATATGAAACCCTAGTTGGGTTGTACCCCCTATGGGATACCCCACTATAGCCTACACAATAGCATAAGCTATAATGTTCTGACAACTAGAGGGTATTGTGCCACATTCCTTGCCTTGGACCATCCATGGACCCTTGTTGAGGGGTCCTTTTGGCGCGTTGTTCATTGTTCAGGGGCTGTCAAGTCCCACTTTTGGTCCACGTTTTCGTCGTATACTCGGACTCACGTGTGTGAACAAACTTCGAAAGGTGATTTGAGAACGCTGAACATGTTACGTATCATTTCTACTAAAATAAAAATAAAAAACGTGTCATATATGTGCACCCGGGTGGTATGTAGCTTTTTCTCTTAAGAAGACCCACCCCCTTTTTTTAATTGTTCAGGGGCTGTCAAGTCCCACTTTTGGTCCACGTTTTCATCGTATACTCGGACTCGCGCGTGTGAACAAACTTCGAAAGGTGATTTGAGAACGCTGAACATGTTACGTATCATTTCCACTATATAATGGAGGAGAACGGGGCCACTCACCCAAGTTGGTGAGCAAGTAGGTCAGCCAGCGTAACTCCTGCGCAGGTTAGTCATGAGGTCGGCTACAGTGGTGAAGTCAGACAGCTGAGGGAAGAGAAACGACAGTGGAAGAGGGCCTAGGGTGGCAGAAGAGGGGGAGAAGTAGCGCCTAACTACAGCGTCATATAGAGCCTTGGCCGACTTCACCTAGAGAAAGTGGGGTCGCTGGTCGGGCGGGAGGTGAGCGCGGACTCACGATGGGTGGTGACGTCACGCGCGAGCCATTGCAAGCAATGCGGTTAGTCTTAAACTGCTGTCGCAGAGTCTCGGTAGCGGTAGGGCCAGGGTCAGTCGGCTCAGGTGGGGTAGCGAGGGACCCCGACGTGTGCTCAAAGAGGGAGACACTGTCTGTGGTAATGCTAAGTATGTACAGGTGAAGGTCCTGCAACCAGGACTCAAAGTCGATCGGGCGTCCCTCTAGGTCAAAGGTAAGCATTGTAACAGTCGCCATGGCAGGCAGTGTGGCGCTGCACGGCAGTAGGCAAGGCAGCACGGCTCGGCAGCAGTTAAGTCTGCGCGGTTCGATTGCAGCGGGCAACAGCAGGCGCGGCTCAGCGGTGTGGCATGGCTCGGTTGCTGGCGGCACGGCTGTGCGGCACGGCTCGGCGCGGCTCAACAGGGCGGCGAAGTGCGGCGCGGTTCGACAGAGCGGCGCGGCGCGGGAGGGTGGAGCGGCGAGGCGTGGCAGGACAGCGCTGCAAGAGGCAGCGCGGTGGCTCGGGCAGTGCACTGGCTGCAGCAGGCCTGCAGCGAGTGGTGGCGCAGACCGATGCACGGGCTGCAGCTGGCGGTGCGCAGGCTGCAGCGCAGGCGGCAGCGCAGCGGCAGCGCGATGGGGCAGCGCGCGCAGCAGCACGGGTGACAGCACTGCAGCGTGGCTGCGCGGGGCAGGGCGCACGCGGCAGCGGGGCTGTGCGGGGCAGGGCACGCAGGGCAGGGCTTTGCGGGGCAGCGCGTGCGAGACCTGCGCATGGGACAATGCAGGCCAACGTGTGCGGGGCAGGGCAGGGCAGGGCGGGGCAGCGCGGACGCGCGGGGCAAGGCAGCGCGTGGGGCAGGGCAGCACAACAGCGTGCAGGGCAGGGCGACAGAGCGGGGCAGGGCAGCGTGACTGCGCGTGGGGTATTGCGTCAGTGCGGGGCAGGGCAGAGCAGGGCAGGACGCGGCCTGTGAAGAGCAGCGCGGTGCGGGGCAGGGCAGCGCGGCGCGGGGCAGGGCAACGCGTGGTGCTGGGCAGCTCGCGGGGCAGGGCAGGGCATGGCAGGGCGCGGCCTGCTAATGAGTGGGAACGTAGCTAGCTCGGATACCGTGTCAAAAGTGAACATCGGAATGATGAACTAGGGTAAGAGGGAGGTACATATACGAACCCTAACAAAGTTGTACTCCCTACAACTGACCTCACTATAGTCTTATGATTTGACAATAAGACCCTCGGGTGGTACACTATATCGAGGTGATAAAGGTACTTGATGTGTTGTTCATTGCTGTAGAGTGACGCAGACTGGTATGAGGTCGTCCCCATCTTTCGAGGAGAGCAGCTTTTAGACACTCAACCAGGGATTTCAGTGGAAGCAACGAGAGTAATACATAGTCTGTTTGTAAATGGTGTTGTAGAGGCAAGGCAAGTGTGCCTACTAGCGGTTAGATTGTTCACTGCTCTTCAATTACTAATCCAGACATTAACAAGCAGGGCTAACTTAAATAAAATGACCCGTCTGATGTCAAGACTGGGTCCTGGCTCCTTGTCTGATTATGAGACGAAAGTTGTAACATTGTCTAGCTTTTCAGACGAATCCTAAATACTTGTCTGAGATCTCTGAGAAGATATAAAGATAGCAAGCCATATACGATCATATAAAAAATAGGAAAATTAGGTACCAGCCTTAATGGTCCAGCCAGTATAATTGGGAGTTGTGAAGACTGAGATTTTCTGCTCAAATCTTGGCACCTGCTTCTGCCAGGCAGGTGCAGACATCTTTCGAGAGTTTTGCCTTCAGACGAAAAAGACTCGATATCTGCACTCTCAGACGAACTGTATGAGGCTGTCTGATAAATCAGATGAATAGAAAAAGCTTCTCTTATAAATCAGACGAAATTAAACAGCATGTCTACGACATCAGATGAACCAGTAAAAATGTGTTCAGAATCCAGAAAATCAGACAAAAAATGTCTGATAAAGTAAGCCCTAACAAGCCTGATTGAACCTTGGAAACACATGCATTGGACATTACACCAGGGCTAACTTTAGTCAAATGACCCGTCTGATGTCAAGACCGGGTCCTGGCTCCTTGTCTGATTGTCAGACGAAAGCTGTAACCTTGTCTAGCTTTTCAGACGAATCCTAAATACTTGTCTGAGAAGATATAAAGCTAGCAAGCAATGTACTTTTAAATATAATTTATTATGTCAAGTAACATCGCCGAACACCTCTAATGCTCCGGTCAGTTGAATATGGAGCCGTGAAGACTGTGGTTTCCAGGTCGTCTGCTTCGTTCGAGAGTTTTGCCTTCAGTCGAAAAGGACTCGATATCTGCAGTCTCAGACAAACTGTATAAGGTTGTCTGAGAAATCAGACGAATAGAAAAAGCTTCTCTAAAAAAAATCAGACGAAATTAAACAGCATGTCTACGGCATCAGATGAACCAGTAAAAATGTGTTCAGAATCCAGAAATTCAGACCAAAAATCTCTGATAAAGTAAGCCCTGCATTACACCTAGACAGTGAATCGATTTTTTTACCCTGCCACTCTCAGTACCGTATTTAAAAAAAAATAGGCAGTATTTGTAAGACTTAGAAAGATTTTACCCTAGCAATCAGGGTTGGCCTGGCTGAAACCCTGACTAGCCAGGGTGGCCCAAAACCAATTTTGGGCCCTGCTCATGGCTATCCTGCCCTGGCCTCCCTGTCTCTCTACCAGTTGCCTCGCATCTCCATGGCATTGCTGCCAGTGGTGACCTTGTTGGCCTGAGTGCCTGTCGACCCATAGTACCCTTGCGTTGTGGCTCGGGAGAATTCAGCAAACGAGCAACCAGGCTTCCACCGGTCCTCTAGGCTCGGCACCACCGAGCCTATTTCACGTGCAGTGGCATGGAAAGCACGGGCCTCTTGCCAAGTGCAGGGTGTAGGTGCAGCGGTGGTGTAAAAAGCATGGGGAGGAGGTGTGAGTGAGGGAGTGCAGAGGGAATATGGAGACGTTGATGGGAGGGAGGAAAATGGGGAGGAGAAGGAGAAGGAGGAGGAGGAGGAGGAGGAGGAGGAGGAGGAGGAGGAGGAGGAGGAGGAGGAGGAGGAGGAGGAGGAGGAGGAGGAGGAGGAGGAGGAGGAGGAGGAGGAGGAGAGGGAGGAGGAGGAGGAGGAGGAGGAGGAGGAGGAGGAGGAGGAGGAGGAGGAGGAGGAGGGAGGAGGAGGAGGAGGAGGAGGAGGAGGAGGAGGAGGAGGAGGAGGAGGAGGAGGAGGAGGAGGAGAAGCGAGGAAGGCCATGTATGACATCACAGGGCAGGAAGCCAGGAGGAGGGGAGAGGGGCAGGTGCCAGGGGGGCTGGAGGAACACTGCAAGCATGTCACGACTCCACGCACACGCGGGGTGGATGGCACGCGCTGAACAGGGAGCAGCCTCCCCACTGCGACCGTCACTAACCCTTGCACTGCCTTGAGATGTAAATTCCTCCTGAGCATGAAAGAGCTCAAGAGCCTTTCCAGGCACCGTTTGCATGGTTGTCTGCATAACAGCTCCTGACCCACCTGATGTGCCCCCCTCACTACCTGACGCCACACCACTACCTGATAACACTGCATGATTTGTGCTCAGCGCCTCGCCTGCCCCTCCTGCTGCTGCAGCCCCTGCCCCTCCTGCTTCTGCTTCTCCCCCAGCAGCGTCACCCCACCCTCCTGGTCGCACCACGCAGTGCACAGCAGCTCTGAGGCGACCCCCTGACAGCACCTGAGCTGCCTCGCCCACCTGCACGGCCACACAGCGCGCTGGTAGCTCCACACGTACAGGTGAGCGGGAGAGTGGGTCCCATACGTGCAGACCGGCTGTGGCCGTGACAACGCTGGCACAGCTGCTGGTGGCGGTGGTGCTGCTGGTGCTGGTGCTGGCGTTGCTGCTGTCAGTGGCTGTGGTGGTGAAAACTTCAGAAGTGACTCGAGAAGCTGCTGTCGATGCAGACAGGTCAGAGGAGGACGCCAGGGAGGCAGTGGCGAGAGGGCAGGCGAGGTGGAAGTCAGAAGGGGAGGCAGCAGGCACATAGAGGGGCGCAACAAGGGCAGTGAACAGGCCGTAGTCGTAGTGCCACTGCTGCCACAGGGGCACGTGGGATGGGAGAGACGAGCTGCATGGGATGGAGGCGCGTGAAGGGCCTTGCCTGGTTGTGGTGGCCCCTCGTGAGTCCATAGCAGCACGACCCTCAGGGGGTTGCGCTGCCCTTACCCTCATACCATCATCAGTACCATCAGAGTGATTTGCCTCCTCCTTTTGTTTTTGCTGATGATGCTTCTCTTGCTGCTGTTGCTGGTGGTGCGTGTGCTTGTGCTTGTGTTGCTGCTGGTTTGGATCTCGTCTTTGCACATGTTTTCGGCCCACCTCTTCTGACTCCTCACTCAACACACCACACCGTCCCACTCCCACATGCCCTTTTCTTGTCTCGCCTCCCTTCTCCCCCTTTTTTCCCCTCACTCCCCGCACATGCTCACACACAGGCCACAGCCCAACTTGCCCCACCTGCCCGCACCCACTCTCATCCCCGCCCCGCCTTCCCTTCCGCCTCCTCCCTCTCTGCTCCACTCCACCACCCTCCCACTCCAGTTCCCCCCATGCATGGTAGTGAATCAGCCGCGCCTTGCCTGTGCCCCCGACCATCGCCTCCACCAGACGCACCTCCCCTCTCTCCTGCTGCTCCTCCTCATGCTGCTGCTGCTCTGCCCCCCACCTTGGCTCACTCTCAAAGCCACATCCAGCAGCACCACCATCACTGCTGCTGCATGCACAGCAAACCGCACCTTGGCCTGCGGGCAGTGCAGCAGAGCCAGGAACAGAAGCAGCAGCAGAGGGCGGGTTGCTGCCTGCTGCTCGCTTCCCTGCCACGCGTGCGCGAGGGAGGACGAGTGAGTGCGGGCATGGCAGGCTGGACGCGCAGGGCGGGCAGGGCGGGAGGGAGTGGTTGAGAGCGGCGTCACACAGCAGAGCGACGAGCAGTGCGGCATGAGAGGCGTGCGAGGCCAGGCGGAGCATGAGCGGGCGCAGGAGAGAGAGCGGAGGGGAGGTGGCGGTGGGGATGGCGCACATGCCGTGGGAAGGAGGCTGCAGCAGAGAAGGGAGGAGGGAAGTTAGTGGATGATCAAGTTGCGGAGGACAGTCAGACGATAATGGTGGTGATGGTGATGGTGATTGTTGTGATGATGCTTGTGATGGTTGTTGTGATGCTGAAGGCAGTGCCGTGCAAGTATTGTTTGTTGGTGTTGCTGTGGGGTGCTGTTCAGGGCGCGTTGTCGTTGTCTGTGCCACGCGCGGCCGAAAACCGGCCCCATGGCCGCTCTGCATGCCTCTCTTGCTCTCTGCAGCAGCCGCTGTGCTGCGAGGAGGAAGAGGACGAGAGGGCAGAGGCACGTTGATAAAGAAGGAGGAGACAGGGCGCTTGGGGTTGGAGAGAGGCAGGTCGGAACCCACTCCGTGCTCCTGACACGTGGCGTGCAGCGTGGATGCGCGAGAGAGAGAGAGAGGAGATCGAGAAAATAGGGGGTAGTGGGAGAGGGTAGATGGGGGGAGAGCACACACAAGCACACACATGCGGAATGAAAGACGGCCATGGGAGAAGCAAAATGTCAGCAGCAGTTGCGCGGCGGGTTTAAGTAAGACGGCCTTGCCAGACAGGGCATGACAGGGAATGATAGACAGGGGATGACCCGCCCGCCGCTTACCCGCAGGAAAGCGTTTCGGCATGACGGGTGCATGAGTGCGAGTCGCCGCGCTAGAGGCAGCAACTGCAGTCGCACCGCCTCCACATGCGGCACGTCTTTAATCGCCACTATGCCGCACCCGGCCGGGCCGTAGCAGTCCAGCAGCTGCCGTGCGACATGCCGTGCGACAGCTATCGCGTCGTCGCCACCTGTCGCAGACGATTCGCCACGGCTACCGTTACTCATGCCGTGCCTCACTGTGTAATCTGAAGTATCTCTACAGGGGGTTGCACCAAGGTTTCGTGATTTTATCGAGACGTCGCCTTCTACCGAAACTCCTGTGTCATCGGCGACATGTGTTGAGTCGTGGGGGGTTGAGCCCAGTCCGCGAGCGACAGCCACGGCAGCGGTGTGAAGGTCCGCATAGTCGATGATCGGGAGGGCAGGGCGCGAAGGAGCGTCGTCCATAACTAACGGCCGTCAGGTCTGACGGTTATTGGAGGTGAGGTTTCGAGGTTTTGTGCTGGATCTTGGGTCCTCGGTTAAAGCCTCAGTACAGGATGGTTGTACAGTGTTTCAAGTTCAATAGCATCTGCAGCGTACCCAACCGAGAAAGTGGGAAACCCTGAAGGACACGACGGCCCTGCTCGACAGGCACGCAAACCCTTCCGCGGCACGTTCTCGGCTGTTTCGACTTAGGCTTTTTTTTCAACGGTCAGCCCGCAATCTGGTGTCTTTGGGCTTTAACGCTGTGTACATAAAGGGTTAAAGCCCGAGTACAGCATGGTAATTTTCAAGTTCAAGATTCTTGAACTTGAAGTCGCCAATAACAGGGTTACCCTACTTATTTTGAGAAAGTTCTCGCGACCCCAGGCAATCGTCCTGCGACAACGGAACCCGAGTGCCCAAAACCAGAACTGACGCGATGATCACCAACCATTTGTACTATTCACCACTCACATAACTTGCTTACCAAGTAGTACTCATAGGCTAGGAGGCTCTAAGGCAAAAACTAGCGCTAGTTGGCAAAAACGAGTCGTTGATAGGTGTTTTTTTTTTGTGCGGAAGGAAATATAAGTCCACCTCAACCATGTTAGTCAGTGCACGCTCTAATCTCTCCCTCACGTCACCGGTCGCGTGTTACAACCCGTACACCCACGGCACTTACGTTAGAAAACGGGATTCGCGTTACTCCAGTCTTGCATTCAAGCTCGCGTCGCACACGCAGGATCTTGTCACACTTGCTGCCATTCAGCCTCGTGTCACGATCGTACCGTTTTAGGCACGGGTCGCTCACGCGAATGCCGTACTGGTTCGCGTAACGCACTCAGCCGTTAGTCGCACATGTTCCTCCTCGTCGGCCGCTCTTGCCCACGTCAGACCGCTTTCCTCGTCGCCCGTGCTTTCCCTCATTACCCTCCCCGACCCTCTGGTCGCATATGTTCCCGTAGTGGCCCATGCTCTCCCACGTTAACCACACATCCCCTCGTCGCAATTGCCAGTAGTAAACATACCGCGCTTCAGATCGTCACCCGCGCTCCCCTCATCACCCTCGTCGACCCACACCGATCCTCGCCGCCCTCCCCTCCCTTCGTCACCGACATTCCCTCTCGTCGCTCGCGCTTCCCCTCATCACCCGTTCCGACCCTCACCGCCCTTGCCTCCCCTCGTCGCCCGCGCGTCCCGTCGTCGGGCTTGCCTCCCAGTCACTCGCGCTTCCCCTCGTCATCCGTGTTTCCATCCGCTCTTCCCCTCTCCCCATCTCACCACCTCCAGCCCATCCTTCCTCCCTCATTCCATCCGAAGGGGTGGGACAGATGGGGAGGAACAGATGGGGAGGAACGGATGGGGAGGAACGGATGGGGAGAAACAGAGGTGGTCGCTTCCGCCACCACAATCGAACAGCGTTCTGATTCCCTCTCTGCTCCCCACCATCCTCCCCCCAGCTCTCTCCCCGGCATCTGCCCCCGTTCCCCCCATCCTCTTCCCTGTTTCCCCGTATCCCCTGCCGTGCTTCCCCCCATCCTATCCCCTCTTACCCCGTATCCCCTGCCCTGCTTCCCCCCATCCCCTTCCCTGCTTCCCCCCATCCCCTTCCCTGCTTCCCCTCGTCCCCTCCCCTGCTTTCCCCCATCCCCTTCCCTGCTTCCCTCCATCCCCTTCCCTGCTTTCCCCCATCCCCTACCCTGCTTCCCCCCATCCCCCTCCCTGCTTCCCCCCATCCCCTTCCCTGCTTCCCCCCATCCCCTGCCCTGCTTCCCCCCATCCCCTTCCCTACTTTCCCCCATCCCCTGCCCTGCTTCCCCCATCCCGTCCCGTGCTTCCCCCCATCCCCTTCCCTGCTTCCCCCCATCCCCTTCCCTGCTTCCCTCCTTCCCTTTCCCTGCTTCACCCCATCCCATCCCCTGCTTCCCCCCATCCCGTCCCGTGCTTCCCCCCATCCCCTTCCCTGCTTCCCCCCATCCCCCTCCCTGATTCCCCCCATCCCCTTCCCTTCTTCCCCCCATCCCCTCCCCTTCTTCCTCCCATCCCCTTCCCTGCTTCCCCCCATCCCCTTCCCTGCTTCCCCCCATCCCCTGCCCTGCTTCCCCCCATCCCCTCCCCTGCTTCCCCCATCCCGTCCCGTGCTTCCCCCCATCCCCTTCCCTGCTTCACCCCATCCCCTTCCCTGCTTCCCCTCATCCCCTCCCCTGCTTCCCCCCATCCCCCTCCCTGTTTCCCCCCATCCCCTTCCCTACTTCCCCCCATCCCCTACCCTGCTTCCCCCCATCCCCCTCCCTGCTTCCCCCCATCCCCTTCCCTGCTTCCCCCCATCCCCTGCCCTGCTTCCCCCCATCCCCTTCCCTACTTTCCCCCATCCCCTGCCCTGCTTCCCCCCATCCCGTCCCGTGCTTCCCCCCATCCCCTTCCCTGCTTCCCCCCATCCCCTTCCCTGCTTCCCCCCATCCCCTTCCCTGCTTCCCCCCTTCCCTTTCCCTGCTTCACCCCATCCCCTCCCCTGCTTCCCCCCATCCCGTCCCGTGCTTCCCCCCATCCCCTTCCCTGCTTCCCCCCATCCCCCTCCCTGATTCCCCCCATCCCCTTCCCTTCTTCCCCCCATCCCCTCCCCTTCTTCCTCCCATCCCCTTCCCTGCTTCACCCCATCCCCTTCCCTGCTTCCCCCCATCCCCTTCCCTGCTTCCCCCCATCCCCCTCCCTGATTCCCCCCATCCCCTTCCCTTCTTCCCCCCATCCCCTCCCCTTCTTCCTCCCATCCCCTTCCCTTCTTCCCCCATCCCCTCCCCTTCTTCCTCCCATCCCCTTCCCTGCTTCCCCTCGTCCCCTCCCCTGCTTCCCTCCATCCCCTTCCCTGCTTTCCCCCATCCCCTACCCTGCTTCCCCCCATCCCCCTCCCTGCTTCCCCCCATCCCCTTCCCTGCTTCCCCCCATCCCCTGCCCTGCTTCCCCCCATCCCCTGCCCTGCTTCCCCCCATCCCCTTCCTACTTTCCCCCATCCCCTGCCCTGCTTCCCCCCATCCCGTCCCGTGCTTCCCCCCATCCCCTTCCCTGCTTCCCCCCATCCCCTGCCCTGCTTCCCCCCATCCCGTCCCGTGCTTCCCCCCATCCCCTTCCCTGCTTCCCCTCGTCCCCTCCCCTGCTTCCCTCCATCCCCTTCCCTGCTTCCCCCCATCCCCCTCCCTGCTTCCCCCCATCCCCTTCCCTGCTTTCCCCCATCCCCTACCCTGCTTCCCCCCATCCCCCTCCCTGCTTCCCCCCATCCCCTGCCCTGCTTCCCCCCATCCCGTCCCGTGCTTCCCCCCATCCCCTTCCCTGCTTCCCCCCATCCCCTTCCCTGCTTCCCCCATCCCCTGCCCTGCTTCCCCCCATCCCGTCCCGTGCTTCCCCCCATCCCCTTCCCTGCTTCCCCCATCCCCTGCCCTGCTTCCCCCCATCCCCTCCCCTGCTTCCCCCCATCCCCCTCCCTGTTTCCCCCCATCCCCTTCCCTTCTTTCCCCCATCCCTTCCCCTGCTTCCCCCCTTCCCTTTCCCTGCTTCACCCCATCCCCTCCCCTGCTTCCCCCCATCCCGTCCCGTGCTTCCCCCCATCCCCTTCCCTGCTTCCCCCCATCCCCTTCCCTGCTTCCCCCCATCCCCTTCCCTACTTTCCCCCATCCCCTGCCCTGCTTCCCCCCATCCCGTCCCGTGCTTCCCCCCATCCCCTTCCCTGCTTCCCCCCATCCCCTTCCCTGCTTCCCCCCTTCCCTTTCCCTGCTTCACCCCATCCCATCCCCTGCTTCCCCCCATCCCCTGCCCTGCTTCCCCCCATCCCGTCCCGTGCTTCCCCCCATCCCCTTCCCTGCTTCCCCCCATCCCCCTCCCTGATTCCCCCCATCCCCTTCCCTTCTTCCCCCCATCCCCTCCCCTTCTTCCTCCCATCCCCTGCCCTGCTTCCCCCCATCCCGTCCCGTGCTTCCCCCCATCCCCTTCCCTGCTTCCCCCCATCCCCTTCCCTGCTTCCCCCCATCCCCTGCCCTGCTTCCCCCATCCCCTCCCCTGCTTCCCCCCATCCCCCTCCCTGCTTCCCCCCATCCCCTGCCCTGCTTCCCCCCATCCCGTCCCGTGCTTCCCCCCATCCCCTTCCCTGCTTCCCCCCATCCCCTTCCCTGCTTCCCCCATCCCCTGCCCTGCTTCCCCCCATCCCGTCCCGTGCTTCCCCCCATCCCCTTCCCTGCTTCCCCCCATCCCCTGCCCTGCTTCCCCCCATCCCCTCCCCTGCTTCCCCCCATCCCCCTCCCTGTTTCCCCCCATCCCCTTCCCTTCTTTCCCCCATCCCTTCCCCTGCTTCCCCCCTTCCCTTTCCCTGCTTCACCCCATCCCCTCCCCTGCTTCCCCCTATCCCGTCCCGTTCATGTTCCATCCCCTTCCCTGCTTCCCCCCATCCCCTTCCCTTCTTCCCCCATCCCCTTCCCTGCTTCCCCCCTTCCCTTTCCCTGCTTCACCCCATCCCCTCCCCTGCTTCCCCCCATCCCGTCCCGTGCTTCCCCCCATTCCCTTCCCTGCTTCCCCCCATCCCCTTCCCTGCTTCCCCCCATCCCCTTCCCTACTTTCCCCCATCCCCTGCCCTGCTTCCCCCCATCCCGTCCCGTGCTTCCCCCCATCCCCTTCCCTGCTTCCCCCCATCCCCTTCCCTGCTTCCCCCCTTCCCTTTCCCTGCTTCACCCCATCCCATCCCCTGCTTCCCCCCATCCCCTGCCCTGCTTCCCCCCATCCCGTCCCGTGCTTCCCCCCATCCCCTTCCCTGCTTCCCCCCATCCCCCTCCCTGATTCCCCCCATCCCCTTCCCTTCTTCCCCCCATCCCCTCCCCTTCTTCCTCCCATCCCCTGCCCTGCTTCCCCCCATCCCGTCCCGTGCTTCCCCCCATCCCCTTCCCTGCTTCCCCCCATCCCCTTCCCTGCTTCCCCCCTTCCCTTTCCCTGCTTCACCCCATCCCCTCCCCTGCTTCCCCCCATCCCGTCCTGTGCTTCCTCCCATCCCCTTCCCTGCTTCCCCCCATCCCCTTCCCTGCTTCCCCCCATCCCCTGCCCTGCTTCCCCCCATCCCCTCCCCTGCTTCCCCCCATCCCCCTCCCTGTTTCCCCCCATCCCCTTCCCTTCTTTCCCCCATCCCTTCCCCTGCTTCCCCCCTTCCCTTTCCCTGCTTCACCCCATCCCCTCCCCTGCTTCCCCCCATCCCGTCCCGTTCATGTTCCATCCCCGTCCCGTGCTTCCCCCCATCCCCTTCCCTGCTTCCCCCCATCCCCTTCCCTGCTTCCCCCCATCCCCTGCCCTGCTTCCCCCCATCCCCTCCCCTGCTTCCCCCCATCCCCCTCCCTGCTTCCCCCCATCCCCTTCCCTTCTTTCCCCCATCCCTTCCCCTGCTTCCCCCCTTCCCTTTCCCTGCTTCACCCCATCCCCTCCCCTTCTTCCCCCCATCCCCTTCCCTGCTTCCCCCAATCCCCTTCCCTGTTTCCTCCAATCCCCTTCCCTGTTTCCCCCCACAGGGGGACGCACGCGCAACAGGGGGGCAGCGCAGCAGACTTGTGTGCAATCTCAGTGACTTGTGTGCAATCTCAGTGACTTGTGTGCAATCTCAGTGACTTGTGTGCAATCTCAGTGACCAGCGGCATGCTGCAACAAACCCCCCACTCCTTTCATACCCCCCACTCCTTTCATACCCCCCACTCCTTTCATACTCCCCACTCCTCTCATACCCCCCACTCCTTTCATACTCCCCACTCCTCTCATACCCCCCACTCCTTTCATACTCCCCACTCCTCTCATACCCCCCACTCATTCCATACAGTGGACTCCCCCCACTCCTCTCATACTCCCCATTCCTCTCATACCCCGCACTCCCCTCGTACGCCCAACTCCTCTCATACCCCACAGTCCCCTCATACCCCCTGCTCCTCTCATATCCCTACACCCTCGTTCCAAACTTCCCACTCCCTTCATATCACCCACTCCTCACATACCCACCGCTAATGTGAATTCAAATTGTCACTGTTTCGTCTGGTCCCGCTTTCCACCTATGCACTGCTTCCCACGCTTGCACCCCTGCTTTCCGCCCTTGCACCCCTGCTTCCCACCCTTGCACCCCAGCTTCCCACCCTTGCACCCCTGCTTTCCACCCTTGCACCCCTGCTGTCAGCCCTTGCACCCCTGCTGTCAGCCCTTGCACCCCTGCTGTCAGCCCTTGCACCGCTGCTGTCAGCCCTTGCACCCCTGCTGTCAGCCCTTGCACCCCTGCTGTCAGCCCTTGCACCCCTGCTGTGAGCCCTTGCACCCCTGCTGTCAGCCCTTGCACCCCTGCTGTCAGCCCTTGCACCCCTGCTGTCAGCCCTTGCACTCCTGCTTTTCTGCTTCAAGAGCAGCAGCAAGTCCCTCCAGAGATCCTATAGCTGCCACTGGTTCGTCTGCTCCTACTCTGAGCTACTACCGGTAAAATTTTGAGCCCTCAAGTCGTGCGCCTTCTATCCCACCCATGCATCTGCCATGTGCTGGCAGGCTAACTGGTGTGTCGATTCCAGTACTGTGGCTCACTTCACTGCGCATTGTGAACGAGGTCCTTGTGAAATGCAAGTATAAGCCATCCTGAAGTAGTGTACATTGGATGCCAAGTGGTTACCTCGGCAATAATTTGCAATAAAGTGCAAACAGAGCTGGGCACTGACACCTTTGGAGTAAGATAACTGTTACACATCATCATGGATATATCCTTTTTGGGATACCAAACAAGCTAGTGCCCTAGGCAGAATGGAACATGAGCTGGATTAGGGTCTCAAGAATCGAAGCAATGGAGTAGTTTCACCGGGCTAACTTCATCCGCACGTGTAACGTATATTGCAACTATAATATGTGCAAGTTTATTTCGCTCTTAGCATGATTAGGTTTAGGACAGAATGGCATAGTCCTCCACACACATTCAAGCATGACATGTTCAAGACCACATTAGCACAGTGGGGATGGAAACACAACCCCATTTATTCATCCTGACCTGCCACCCACACCTCCACTTCCTCTCCGTCATAGTGGCCTGCTAGCCACCACTCATCACTATCGTCGCTCCACTCCTCCGCATCTTTTATCACTGCGTCTGCCACATCATCCCCTTGATCCGATGGCAATTCCGCCTTATCCCTCTCACAGTGGTAACCTGCAGCTATAGCCAATGAGAAGGAGGATAAGCCAGAATTTAGGGTGGTGTCCCTGTAGCTATGAATAATCTCATCCGCAGAGCATGGCAGGGCATGCCTGGAGGGGGGGAGGGAGAAGGGCGGAGCGGAGCATGACAGGGGAGGGCAGGGCAGGTCATGGCATGGCATGGGAGAGGCATGGCATGACGCGGATGGTGCAGACAAGGGCAGGGCGGGCCATGAGAAAGCAGGGCAGGCATGGCCCCTCTAGTCATGGCATCGCAGAAAAATGAGGGTGCTGACAAGGGCGGGGCGGGGCGGGACAGGGCATTGCAGGGCAGGACATGGCAGGGCAGGGCAGGGAAACCTGTCGCAGTCTTCCGCGCGCATCATACTGCACCAGTGGGAAGGAGTATCTAAGCCCGGCCAGCACTCGATTGGGCCGTTGATGCAGGGCTACTACATCCTCCATAGTTCCTTTCGCGCGTTCTTTGAAGATGCGGCCGTACTCTTTTCGATGTCTTTCCACAATTACGCCGGTATGAGTATCGTTTGAAGCAGGATCTGTTAGGCAGAGAATGTGCAGGCAGAGAATGTTCAGGCATGTGATACATTTCACGGGTGTAGGACATTCGATAGAAAGACAACCAGCACTTCAGATCATGCACACATCACATGCTCACCCAAACCTTGTGTCATACCTGCTGCTAGGCCCGCCTCAATAAGTCGGTTGGTCGCTTGGGGTGCTGACTCAACCAAAAAGTGAATCACATCATCTGTCGTCGCCATCGTGTCCCCAAGGTACAATGCCGAGAGCCCGATGCGGAGAACACACAAAAGTGGCCGCATGTGGACCGAAATATTGACCGTTCCTCTCTGGACATCCTTACATGCTTGTATTGCAGGATGCCCTCCCGCACCTACACCAACCCCTGCCATCTGAAACCATGTCAGCGCATACCCCGAGGAGAGGAAGGAGATGGGTGGTTAGGGCGTTGGCACAGCAGGGACAAGGATTAGGGCATCTATAGATGTCTGCAAAAATGTGCAAATGCACGTCATGCAGCACCGAGCGGTGAGTGCACGCAATAGAGAAAGGGCCCAAAGCACCAGCAACTCTGGTTGTTGCTGCCTGGGGACTGAACAGGTGGAGGCATGGTGCTGAAACCAGGCCCAAGGCAGCAGCATCCAGAGGTGCTGCTGCCTTGGGACAGAACAGGTGGGTTTACAGTGGTGAAAGCAAGCCCAAGGCAGTAGCAACTCTGGTTGTTGCCGCCTGGGGACTGAACAGGTGGAGGCATGGTTCTGAAACCAGGCCCAAGGCAGCAGCATCCACGGTTGCTGCTGCCTTGGGACAGAACAGGTGGGTTTACAATGGTGAAAGCAAGCCCAAGGCAGCAGCAACTCTGGTTGTTGCTGCCTGGGGACTGAACAGGTGGAGGCATGGTGCTGAAACCAGGCCCAAGGCAGCAGCATCCAGAGGTGCTGCTGCCTTGGGACAGAACGGGTGGGTTTACAGTGGTGAAAGCAAGCCCAAGGCAGTAGCAACTCTGGTTGTTGCTGCCTGAGGACTGAACAGGTGGAGGCATGGTGCTGAAACCAGGCCCAAGGCAGCAGCATCCAGAGGTGCTGCTGCCTTGGGACAGAACAGGTGGGTTTACAGTGGTGAAAGCAAGCCCAAGGCAGCAGCAACTCTGGTTGTTGCTGCCTGGAGACTGAACAGGTGGAGGCATGGTGCTGAAACCAGGTCCCAAGGCAGCAGCATCCAGAGGTGCTGCTGCCTTGGGACTGAACAGGTGGGTTTACAATGGTGAAAGCAAGCCCAAGGCAGCAGCATCCAAAGGATGCTGCTGCCTTGGGACTGAACAGGTGGGTTTACAGTGGTGAAAGCAAGCCCAAGGCAGCAGCAACTCTGGTTGTTGCTGCCTGGGGACTGAACAGGTGGAGGCATGGTGCTGAAACCAGGCCCAAGGCAGCAGCATCCAAAGATGTTGCTGCCTTGGGACTGAACAGGTGGGTTTACAGTGGTGAAAGCAAGCCCAAGGCAGTAGCAACTCTGGTGGTTGCTGCCTGGGGACTGAACAGGTGGAGGCATGGTGCTGAAACCAGGCCCAAGGCAGCAGCATCCACGGTTGCTACTGCCTTGGGACAGAACAGGTGGGTTTACAATGGTGAAAGCAAGCCCAAGGCAGCAGCAACTCTGGTGGTTGCTGCCTGGGGACTGAACAGGTGGAGGCATGGTGCTGAAACCAGGCCCAAGGCAGCAGCATCCAGAGGTGCTGCTGCCTTGGGACTGAACAGGTGGGTTTACAATGGTGAAAGCAAGCCCAAGGCAGCAGCATCCAAAGATGTTGCTGCCTTGGGACAGAACAGGTGGGTTTACAGTGGTGAAAGCAAGCCCAAGGCAGCAGCAACTCTGGTTGCAGTTGTGTGCCTTTGCCTCGTGACACGTGAGCGTGATAGGACCCTCAAGGCAGCAGCGACCATTGTCGCTGTACTATAGTTGCAGTAGCAGAGAATTGGGCACTCACCTGGGCTATCCTCTGTAGCGATCCGCAGGGGCGTGTGCTGCACCTTGCTCCCCGTCACTCCGCAGTATCCACTTTAGTTGTGCGCGCGGTGGTCGTAGCCAGGTCACCTGGAGGGCGCGCTTCTCGTCGCCGGGAACGCGAGCTCCGTGTCGTCTGGAACGCGGGCTCCGCGTCGTCTGGAACGGGGACTCCGCGTCGTCGGGAACGCGGGCTCCGCGTCGTCTGGAACGCGGACTCCGCGTCGTCTGGAACGCGGGCTCCGCGTCGTCTGGAACGCGGGCTCCGCGTCGTCTGGAACGCGGACTCCGTGTCGCCGGGAACGCGGGCTCCGCGTCGACTGGAGGGCGGGATCAGATCCGCCTGAAATGCGAGATCCGCGTCGCGAGGAATGCGGGCTCCGCGTCGCAAGGAATGCGGGCTCCGCGTCGCACAGAACGCGAGCAGCTAAATGTGGCGAGCGAGTGCTGCTCGGCGCTTGGTGCGCGAGCCGAATCTAGTCCGTTTTCTTCCCCCTGGCTAGTCACAACGACTCCAATACACTCGTCGTTTCTTGTTGTGCCTAGCTACCCGTAGTCTCCAGTCTGTCATCACGACCTTCTTCCCGTTAGTGCAATCGCGCTTGCACGTTCCTACACTTTGCTGTTGCCAGCTCCTGCGATGGTCGTTACCCAAGTAATCTGGGGCAAGGATCGTCTCGAACACGTTTCTGTTGTGGCGTTGAGTAGGTGGCGTTGATAACCAGCACGTGCTTTGCTTGCTCAGTTTTTCTATTTCCCGTTAGCATCGAGCTGATTCTGTGCTGAGGTGACTTCAGTTGAGCAACACTTTCCATGCTCGATGCAAGAGAGGATGTGTGAGAGAGGATGTGTGCGACACATTTGTCGCTTTGGGTTGGTGGGATTCGCAGGATTGGTGAGTGCGAAATGTTCACTTGTTTGCGGCGGAAAATTGTTCTCGCCAAGGGCAGCCAACCGAAATAGGCTTCGCAGATCTCGCATACAGCCTATTTCAAATACACATAACTTGATAATTTACCATGCTGACCCCGGGCTTTAAGGGTTAGCCTGTCGAACGCGACGTTAAAGCAGCGGTATACATTTGGCAGCACTGTTGGAGTGACTACAGTACCCAAAACCAGTTCGCTCCAGCGAAAGTGAAACAGCTTGGCGAGAGTATTGGCGAAAACTCCGAGCCCTTCCACCACTTGGGGAGACTTGTGTGTGCACAAAAGAGATGCACTTACTCGTCACCTAACACCAAGTATTGTTGGCAAGTATCAATTAGCTAATTAGCTTCTATCAGTCTACCCCAAGACTCGCACTCTAGAGACGCACTTGGGCCGGCAGACCAGACATCACGGCCACTAAACCATCTCGTGAGTTCGCACAAACTAAAGATTACACTACAGGGAACGACCTCATTCTACCCATTCATCCAGGCCGCGACGTTGCATTCGGCGAGCACGTCGTATACTTTTAGTTGGGCGCGCCACCGAACATTCCGCGGGCCCGTCGACGAGCATTCGGCGAAATCGCTTTCCCTATCGCCTTGAAAAGCATTGCGCGGCCCGCAAAACTGCACTTGTCGAGGCCGCCACAACCTTTCTTAGAGCGGTCCGGCGAGATAGCCATTTACCCTATCGCCGGGCCCGCATGAAAACCATTCGCCGGTCTGTTGAATTGCATTTCGCTAGCCCGCCGTCAACTTTTCTGAGAACCTCCCAGCGAGCAATCCGCTGCGTGCTATGAGATGTGGACGTGTCTCTTTGCATACCACCGTCCCTTCCGCCCCACTCCCTACTCCTCCCCTTCCTCACGCGCGCACTCACTCCTCCAGCGCTCACTCCTCCAGCGCACACTCACTCCCCCACTGCATCCCTACTCCCATCTCCTCTCATTCGCATTCGCTCCCACCGCGCGCGCCATTTTCCCCCCCGCGCGCACTCGCCCTGCGCGCACTCGCTCCCACTGCATCCCTACTCCCATCTCCTCTCCCCCACTGCATCCCTACTCCCATCTCCTCTCCCCCACTGCATCCCTACTCCCATCTCCTCTCCCCCACTGCATCCCTTCTCCCATCTCCTCTCCCCCACTGCATCCCTACTCCCATCTCCTCTCCCCCACTGCATCCCTTCTCTCATCTCCTCTCCCCCACTGCATCCCTACTCCCATCTCCTCTCCCCCACTGCATCCCTACTCCCATCTCCTCTCCCCCACTGCATCCCTTCTCCCATCTCCTCTCCCCCACTGAATCCCTACTCCCATCTCCTCTCCCCCACTGCATCCCTACTCCCATCTCCTCTCCCCCACTGCATCCCTTCTCCCATCTCCTCTCCCCCACTGAATCCCTACTCCCATCTCCTCTCCCCCACTGCATCCCTACTCCCATCTCCTCTCCCCCACTGCATCCCTTCTCCCATCTCCTCTCCCCCACTGCATCCCTACTCCCATCTCCTCTCCCCCACTGCATCCCTACTCCCATCTCCTCTCCCCCACTGCATCCCTACTCCCATCTCCTCTCCCCCACTGCATCCCTACTCCCATCTCCTCTCCCCCACTGCATCCCTTCTCCCATCTCCTCTCCCCCACTGCATCCCTTCTCCCATCTCCTCTCCCCCACTGCATCCCTACTCCCATCACCTCTCCCCCACTGCATCCCTACTCCCATCTCCTCTCCCCCACTGCATCCCTACTCCCATCTCCTCTCCCCCACTGCATCCCTTCTCCCATCTCCTCTCCCCCACTGCATCCCTACTCCCATCTCCTCTCCCCCACTGCATCCCTTCTCCCAGCGTGCAGCGTGGATGTGCGAGATTGAGGGAGCGGAGATCAAGAGAATCGGGGGTAGTGGAGAGGGTAGATGGGGAAGGGAAAACACACACAAGCACACACGTGTGGAATGAAAGACGGCCTTTGGAGAGGCAAAACAACAGCAGCGATTGCGCGGGGGTTAAGTCAAAAGAGGGCATGACAGGGCAAGACAGGGAATGACAGGGGATGACAGGGAATGACAGGGAATGACAGGGAAGGCTAAGAGATGACAGGGGATGACAGGGAAGGCCAAGCCATGACAGGGGATGACAGGGAAGGCCAAGAGATGACAGGAAACAGGGGATGACCCGCCTGCTGCTTACCCGCAAAAAAACATTTCGGCATGACGGGTGCATTAGAGCGAGGCGTCGGGCCAGAGGCAGCAACTGCAGCCGCACCACCTCCACATGCGGCACGTCTTTAATCGCCACTATGCCGCACCCGGCCGGGCCGTAGCAGTCCAGCAGCTGCCGTGCGACACGCCGTGCGACAGCTATCGCGTCGTCGCCACCTGTCGCAGGCGATTCGCCACTGCTACCGTTACTCATCCTGTGCCTCACTGTGTAATCTTAAGTATCTCTACAGGAGGCTGCACCCAGGCTTCGTGCTTTTATCGAGACGTTGCCTTCTACCGAAAGTCCTGTGTCATCGGCGACATGTGATGAATCGGGGGAGTTTGAGCCCAGCGCGCGAGCGACAGCCACGGCAGCGGTGCGAAGGTCCGCATAGTCGATGATCGGGAGCGCAGGGCGCGAGGGAGTGTCGTCCATAGTTGACGGCCGTCAGGTTTGACGGTAATAGGAAGTGGGGCTTCGAGGTTTTGTGCTGGCTGGATCTTGGGTGCTCAATTAAAGCCTTGTACAGGATGGTTGTACAGAATTCAATCTCCTCGAAACAGGGTTACCGTTTGCCGTGCGAAGAAGCGTAAAACGCAGCGCATGCATCTGCAGCGTACCCAACCGAGGAAAGGGAAGGAACCCAGAGGCACACGACAACCTCGAAGCTGTTCGGGGCAAACGTGTGTAACGCCCGATCCGTCAATTGCCGTGTTGTGGGTGCGTGAGTCTGTGACGTGATCTCCTCAGCACACCACAGTCCTGGGCTCCTACCTATACCGTACGGGATCTCTCACATTCTGCTAGGCTCAACTGCAGTGATGCAATCGGCCATAAATGTGCAATCGCTGGCTAAAAGCAATCAAAGTCGGTTGCTAGTCTTATACGAGTTTTAGTTTACACTCAAGGTCGCATATACGTAGTAATTGATCTCTTGCTTTAGCCGATTAGATGGAACCACCCACCCACATCCATGACCTTCCTGACGACATTCTCACGAGGATTTTTTGGCATTTCGAGCAGCCCGTTCCTAGAAAAGCGGGCAGCGATTGCTTGTGGGCTTCCCATTCCTTCAGTCCCACCCCGAAGTACCTCTCTGCAAACCTTTCATTTGAAAACGCCATTCGTCAGGAAATTAAGACGCCATTACCCATTCCTCCTCCTTCTGCCGACGCTCACCGTATTCTCCTCGTCGCGGCCGTGTGCCGTCGCTGGCGCGGTCTCACTCAGCGTTGCGTCTCCGCGCTTCTCGTCCGAGACAATCTCGTCGTGTCTCGCCAGGCTCTCGCGAGTGCTGTCGCTGCCTTACCGAACCTGACCCATCTCCACCTGTGCGACGGCAGCGTCGAGACTCTCGACGACGCCTTCCTCGCTCACCTCGCCTCCTCATGTCCCAACCTCGCCATCCTCCACGTCGGAAGCAGAATTACGCCTGTGGACTGCAGACGCGGTTATGACGCTCAACTCGGAAAGGACGAGCACCCTCCCATCACAGAAGCTGGCCTGGATCGTTTCTTTCGGCAGAGCACTCGGCTGGAGCAGCTTGCACTTTACTGCCTCGACCCTTCTGTCGAATTTCCCGCTTCCTTCTTTCAGCTGCCGCATCTGCACACTCTCGCGCTCACGCATGCTTCACCGCTCGAATCTCCCGATTTAAGTAACCTTTCATCCCTCACCAGCCTGCATTTTCCCTCCGGAGAAATTACCTATAAGCAAGTGGCAAGCGTCGCTCGCCTCCCACGCATCACCACCTTGTCAATCTCAGATGAAGCCTCAGTCTACCGTGGTGAGGGCTTTGCACGTGACTTCGACATGGCACAGCTGCCTCTGCTCAAGTCGTTACAGTTCGTCCAGATGCTGCCTGCTGCATCGCCATGTGCCAGCCTGGAACGCCTGGATATCGTCAACAAGAACCTGATTGGTCGCTTAGATGAGCTTTCACCAGAATTGCTGGCCTTTCAACTCGGAAAGCTGACGCCGAGTCTCCGCGAGCTGAGCCTTCGCCAAAGATTCGCTGCGGAGTACGTTCCTGGTCGTATCACCGCTCTGCCTTTCACTTCTCTAACTCTCTTGGAGAGCCTGACGCTCTTCGAGTGTAACCGGCTTTCCAGCCTGCCGGAGGAGATTGGATGCCTGCATGCCCTGAAGACTCTCGTGCTGCACAGGCTGCCACTCGTGGCCCTCCCGGACTCCCTCTGCCACCTGCCTTCCCTTGAGACATTCCTCCTCATCCAATGCATTACCAGCCCGCAGGTCCTCCAGCTGCCTGCAGATTTCTGCTGCCTCACGTCCCTCCAAACCCTCGCCATTCTGAGGATGCCGCGGGTGAGGCTTCCGGAGAACATTGGTGAGCTCTCTTGTCTGCATACTCTGTATTTGAACGGTCAGTACCAGCAACCGCGGCTGCCACTCTCCTTCACTCAGCTGACTTTATTGACCAGGCTTGAACTGGCGGTGTGCACGATTCAAGAGCTTCCCGAGGGCCTGGGGAACCTGACTAGCCTGCGGGAACTTCACATTCGTTCTTGTCCTCTGCTCCAGAAGCTTCCAGAATCTCTGACAAGCCTCTCAAGCCTTGAAACCCTTACGGTCGATGACTGTGTGAAGCTCTTCTCGATTCCCAGGAGGCTAGACAGCCTTGGGAGGCTCAAATGGCTGGAGCTGACTGGGTGTCCCGATCAGACTCAGCCTCCTACGTCTCTCCCGCACTCCCTCGAGGTCTTGAGTTTTGGAAACAGCTACCACGCGGCTGATCTGCCAGACGTCTCCGTGCTGCCTTGGCTGAGAAAGCTCTCCTTGAAGCTGGTTGGTGCGGAGGAGAGGATGGCTGTGGGCAGCAGCTTGGCGCGCGTGAAGCAGGTGGAGCTGGCGCTGCAGGAGGAGGCTGTGGAGCTGCCCTTGTCCCTTGCGCTGCTCCCCCAGCTGCACACGCTGGTCATGTGGAACGCGGGGAAGATGCAGCGGCTTCCAAGCGACATGGGATGGGCTGTGCCGCAGCTGAGGGTTCTGCAGATCCACTGTGCGCGGGAATTGAGGGAGCTGCCGGACAGCATTGGCGCTGCATCCCGCCTGCGCCAGCTGCACCTCTTTGACTGCCCCGCTCTGCACCACCTGCCTGCTTCCCTCACGCACCTCTCATGCCTCCACGAGCTGCATGTGGAAAACAGCGGCCTGCGCTGCCTTCCTTCAGGTATTGCACAGTTGACCAGGCTGCGCAGTCTTAGCTTGCATGGCTGTGTGGAGCTGCAGGGTCTTCCAGACGATCTCACGGAGCTGAAAATGCTGCAATACTTGGGCATTAAGAATTGCAGCAAGGATGTGTGGGGTGGGTGGGACGCAGTTTTCGAACCTCGTGGGCTCCAAAGTCTGTATGGGTTGAGGATAGAATGTTCTTGGTGGTAAGATTGCGTGTGTGACCTTGGTTGTGTGTGATGTGTGAACCTGATTCAAGCTGTTTACGGTGGTACCTGTCAAATGTTGTAGCCTATAGTGAGGTTTGTCTTAGGGGGTACAGAAGTTAGGGTTTGTCATATGTACCCCAACCAACATCAATGGCATCATCCATTCCTCATTCTGACATGGTATCAGCTAGGTTAGGATCCTGTGGGATCCCGTTCCTCCGTTCTCCGTTCGTACCTCCCGAGCCTGACCCTACCTCTCGTTCGTACCAGTTCCGTTGTTACCGCGCCTAGTACCGAGCCTAGCGCCCTTTTCCCCCGTCGCTTAGCGCCCTTTCTCCCCGTTACCTAGCGCCCTTTCCCCCCCCCCCCCCCCCGTCGCGTCGCCCTGTCCCGTCGCGTCGCGCCCTTTCCCCCCGTCGCGTCGCGCCCTTTCCCCTCGTCGCGTCGCGCCCGTTCCCCCCGTCGCGTCGTGCCCCGCCCGTTCCCCCCCGTCGCGTCGTGCCCGCCCGTTCCCCCCCGTCCCGTCGCCCTGTCCCGTCGCGTCGCCCTGCCCCGTCGCGTCGCCCTGCCCCGTCCCGTCGCCCTGTCCCGTCCCATCGCCCTGCCCCGTCGCGTCGCCCTGCCCCGTCGCGTCGCTCCCGCCCTTTCTCCCGTCCCGTCGCCCTGCCCTACGCCCTAGCCCGTCGCCCTACTCTAAGCCCTGGCCCGTCGCCCTACCCTAAGCCCTGCCCCGTCGCCCTTCCCTCCGCCCTGGCCCGTCGCCCTTCCCTACGCCCTGGCCCGTCGCCCTAGCCCGCTCTTCCGCTGCGACTGAGTCCTCTTCCTCCCGGTTGTTACTCGCCTGTTCGTTTGCGTTAGTTCTCACTATGGCGACTCCGCGAGTTCTTCGTTTCGACGCTGACGGTAGACCCCTTGACTTTTCCGTCTGGCTTCTTCGCGCTCGCCGTCTGTTAGAGAGTCAGGTCCAGGGGGGCGAGACCCTCTGGTCGCACGCTACTGGTGACCTCCCCGAGCCCCCCGAGCCTACAGCTTTAGGCTCTGCCCCTGACGACGCTGCTACGGCTCGCTTTGCCCGTCAGCGCGCTGACAGGACGGCTTGGACGTCGCGTGACGCTGCGGCCTGCATCGCACTCAGCAGCCTCCTCCCTGAGTCAGAGGAGGTCCACTTTACTCAGGTTCGCACCGCTGCTGCGTACCTCACTACGATTAAGGCCCGCTACTCTACTCCCGCTACTGTCTCTCTTGGCCGTCTTTTCCTCCCGTTCCTGTTTCCTGATCTCGCCTCGTTTGAGCGCTCTGCTGACTTGATCGCTCACCTCCGCTCGCTCGACGCTAGTTACCGCGCTGCTTGCACTGAGGCACAGCTTGCACTGCTTCCTCCCTCCATGGCAATTACTGTCTATTTCATCGCCACTAGCCTCCCTGACCGCCTAGCCTCCGTTCGTGACGCGCTTCTGCTGAAGCACCCTAGTGAGCTGACTATCGAGGTCCTTGAGTCTGCACTCAAGGACGTCGAGAGCAACCTTCGCTCGGTAGCTGCCGCCTCTGGTACTGTGTCCCCCCCACTCTTCCACGGGTGCACAGTCCCGCAGTTACCCACCTTCACTGCCTCTCTCGCCACTGCCGCTACTGACGCGACTGCGGCTGCTGTTACGACTGCGTCGCGGTCCCGCGGCAAGGGGGGCAAGAAAGGTAGTTCTGGTGGAGGTGGATGTGGAGGTAGCGGAGGTAGTGGGGGTGCTGTTGCGACTGGCGGTGGTGGGAGTGCAGCGTCTGGAGAGACCCCTCGTGCAGCGGCTGGTGACTCCACTGCGCCTGCTGGTGGCGGCGACCCCCGAGCTCGTCAGTCGCCTCCTGTACTGCCGGCCCCGCTAGGTGGAGCAGCGGCGTGGTACCAGGCTCAGCGGCAGCAGCACCTTCAGCAGCAGCAGCAGCCCCTTTCCTCCCAGCAGCCTCAGCAGCAGCAGCGTCAGCAGCTGGCTCCGGGGTCGGGGCTGCGTCAGCCCCAGCGCGGTACTGCTTACCCTCCCTGCCCCTACCAGGTTCTGACAGGTCCTCGTCGGGGCCACCCTTGTGGCTGCTTTCACCCCCCTGGTCAGTGCTTTGCTCAACTCACTGACACGGTCCGGTTGGCCTACGGGGTTGGCGGTCCTGCTCCTGACTGGCTTCCTCTGGTTCAGCGCTACGGCTCCGCTCTGTGGGGAATGTCTGCTGAGCAGTTAGTTGATCTGATTAGTGCTCCTCATGCTATGTATGTTGTTGTTGACTCTAGTGTTTCTGACTCTGTTTACTCTGGTGTTGTTAGCTTAGGTGCTAGTCTTGCTCAGTTGCCTGTTGCTAGTGTAGGTTCTTGTGTAGACTCTAGACCAGCGACTACCTCAGAGGACGCTTCGCTGTCGTTCACGCTGGACTCTGGAGCCTCCCACTGCTTCTTCCGGGACAGCACGACACTTACACCTCTTCCTGCGCCTGTTTCTGTTGCGTTGGCTGATCCCACTACGGGACCAGTCACTGCACGTCACACTACCACTTTACCGTGTCCTGCTGCTCCCTCCGGGTCTCTCACTGGGTTTCACGTCCCCTCGTTCTCCCGAAACTTGGTGGGCGTGCGACCCCTCGTGAGTCAGCACGTGGGTGTGTGGTTTGAGCCTTCTGGAGAGACTGCGGTGTGTGTTGACGGAGACTCTTACCAGCCTCTTGCTACCTTTACTGCTGAGCCGGGCTCGGGTCTCTACACTCTTCACACTGGCCCGCGTGCGCCGCAGCAGCAGCCGCAGCAGCAGCAGCAGCCGCAGCCGCAGCAGCAGCAGCAGCAGCAGCAGCAGCAGCACCAGCGGCCGCACCAGCAGCCCCCCCTACTGCCACTGCCCCCGGTCCCCCCCCCCGTTCGGGTCCCCGCGTCTCACCAGGTTGCTTCGTCCCCCCAGGTGTCTGTGTCGTGTCTGGTTCCTACGTCTGTTCCAGTCGCTGCGTCGTGCTCCTGCCGGTCGCTTGCCCACCCCACCGTTCTGTGGCACCACCGGATGGGGCACCCGTCCCTTCCTCGTCTGCGCGCTATGTCCAGTCAGCGTCTTGTCCTAGGCCTCCCACGTGTCTTGCCGTCGCTGCCGCCTTCGCTTGCGCCGCCGTGTGGTCCCTACGTCGAGGGTCGGCTGCGCGCCACCCCTCACTCCTCCTCCCTACGTCCGGCCACCGAGCCTTTTGAGACGCTTCACTTGGACGTCTGGGGCCCCGCCCCTCGTCTAGGCCCTGAGCGTGAGCGTTACTTTCTGGTGGTCGTTGACGACTTCTCCCGCTACACCACAGTGTTCCCTCTGGCGAAGAAGTCTGAGGTGACTTCTACGCTGATCAGGTGATTGCTCACCACCGAGGACACTCGTGGTCGTCGTGTCAGCTGTCTCCACTCCGACCGTGGGGGTGAGTTTCGCTCCGGCATTCTCGCTGGATTCTGTCGCGAGCAGGGCATTCGTCAGTCCTGGACGCTTCCAGAGTCCCCACAGCAGAATGGGGTTGCTGAGCGCCGCATAGGCCTGGTCATGGAGATCGCCCGCACCTCCCTGACTCACGCCTGTGCCCCCCATTTTCTGTGGCCCTACGCGGTCAGGTACGCCGCGCACCAGCTGAACCTCTGGCCACGTGTCTCTCGACCAGAGGCGTCACCGACCAGTCTTTGGACAGGGTCCCCTGGTGTTGCGTCGCGGTTTCGCGTCTGGGGGTGCTTGGCTCTTGTCCGCGACACCTCCGCGGACAAGCTCTCGCCTCGTGCCGTCCCCTGTGTCTTCCTTGGTTTTCCTGAGGACTCCTCTGACTTCACCTTTTACCACCCTCCCTCTCACCGGTTCTTTGACTCCCGTGACGTCCGTTTCGAGGAGTCCACTCCGTACTACGTCAGGTACCCCAGTCGAGGTCTCCCGGTTCCTCCTCCCCCCTTCTTCCTGACTGCAGCCCCCCCTCCTGCTCCCTCGGTACAGCCTCCCCCCCCTGGTCCAGCCCCGTCAGGTGTGTCCCAGGCTACCCCTCCTCCTTCGGTAGCCCCTCCGGTACAGCCTCCCTCCCCACAGTCCTCCTCGCAGCGTGCCGCTGGTGCTAGCTCTCGAGAGGTTGGTGCTGCGCCTGTTCCTGTACCGGTTTCTGGTTCTGGGGGTGCTGGAGTTGGAGCTGGAGTTGGTGCTGGAGTTGGCACTGGAGTTTCTGGTTCTGGGGGTGCTGGAGTTGGAGCTGGAGTTGGAGCTGGAGTTTCTGGTTCTGGAGTTGGAGCTGTCCCGGTGGGTGCGGAGGACTCTTGTCGTCCGGGAGCTGGTGCTGGTCGCGCGGCCACTGGGGGTGCTGCGTCTGGGGGTGAGGGTGCGCCTCCTTCGGGTTCAGGTGAGCCTGGGTCTGGAGCTGGTGTTAGTGCTGCCTCTGGGGGTGGTGCGCCTAGTTCTTCTGGGGTGGACTCTGGAGCTGCCGCTGCTTCGGACGCTACTCCACCCCCCCACCCCTACCCGACTAGGCACCAGGCTCGTGTTCGCCGTGCCCGTGACGAGCAGCTTGCGTTGGAGAGAGAGGAGAGGGAGTTACAGCGGCTGGAGGAGCAGCAGCAGCAGCTGGAGCCGCAGGAGCAGCAGCAGCAGCAGCTGGACCCGCAGGAGCAGCAGTCCCAGCAGCAGCCGCTTCCGCAGCAGCAGCAGTCGCAGCAGCAGCAGCAGCAGCCGCTTCCTCCTCCTGTCTCGGGTCTTCGGACCCTTGGTCTCCCCTCCCCTTCTCCTCCCTCCTCCGCCTCTCCTCCTGTCTACGGTCCCACGTTTCCTCCTCCTGACTCCTCCCCTGCTGTTTTCCCCAGTTCTCCGCCTTTGTCCTCTCCTCCTCCGTCTCGTTCTTGGGCTACTCGTCGCTCCCCTCGTGCTCGTCCCTCGTCTCCTGTTCCCTTCACTGACCTTCGTACTGCTTTCCTTCTTACTAGTCCACCTCGTCCGTCTCAGTCTGTGCTTCCGTCTCCTCCTGAGTCGGCCCTCACTGTGTCGCTCCCTACTCCTGTCACTGACTACTACCGCACGTACCGTCCTGTTCTCTCTCGTGTTCTCGCCTCTCTTGTTACTCACCCTCGTGTCTCTGTGTCCTCTGTGTCCGCTCTTACTGCCGCGGTTACTGACTTTGCCTCTACCCGCCGCCTTGACTACGCCACCACGCTTGTGACTGCTCCTCCTACCAGTCCTCTGGTCGTCGGGGGTGTGTCTGCCCTTGGCTGTGACGCCCTAGAGGACAGGCAGTTTAAGCTAGAGTTCCTGGCGGCCGCTTCCCCTCATCTCTGTGCCATGCTCCTCGCCCCTGAGGGTGACCCCGACGCCCTTGACATTCCGACTCCTCGCACTTACGCTGAGGCAGTGTCAGGGCCTTGGGCCTCTCAGTGGAGAGCTGCCATGGACGCAGAGATGGCCTCCTACAGATCCGCAGGCACCTACGTCGATGAGGTTCCCCCCCCTGGGGCGAACGTAGTCGACGGCATGTGGATCTACAGGGTGAAGCGGCCACCGGGATCTCCCCCGGTCTTCAAGGCGCGCTACGTGGCTAGAGGTTTCAGTCAGCGCGAGGGAGTTGACTTCTTTCAGACCTTCGCACCTACCCCGAAGATGACCACTCTTCGGGTGTTACTACACGTAGCAGCACAGAGAGACTACGAGTTACACTCTCTCGACTTCTCCACTGCTTTCCTTCAGGGCAGCCTACACGAGGAGGTCTGGTTGCGTCGTCCCTCGGCCTTCACTGGCACTTTCCCTCCTGGGACCCAGTGGAGGCTGAGGCGACCTGTTTACGGTCTTCGCCAGGCCCCTCGTGAGTGGCACGACACTCTGCGTTCTACCCTCTCTGACCTTGGGTTCCAGCCGTCTTCTGCCGACCCGTCGCTGTTCGTTCGTCGTGGCTCCACACCGTTCTTTGTTCTGGTCTACGTCGACGACCTCGTTTTCGCCACTCCGGACAGGGTTGCTTTGGCAGACGTGAAGTCCGAACTGCAGAAGAGACACACGTGCACTGATCTTGGTGAGCTGCGCCACTACCTTGGCCTGCAGATCACCAGGGACAGAGCCGCTCGCACCATTACACTCTCACAGTCACACATGGTGCAGCAGGTCCTTCAGCGGTTCGGGCTTCAGCACTCCACCGTACAGCGCACACCTCTCGCTGTTGACCACAGACTCACTGGTCCCTTTCCTGACGAGCCGTTTGAGCCTAGTGGTCCCTACGCAGAGCTTGTGGGTTGCCTCATGTACCTGATGACTTGTACTCGCCCGGACCTCGCCTTCCCTCTCAGCATCCTTGCGCGCTTTGTTGCGCCAGGGAGACACCGTCCTGTTCACTGGACGGCAGCTGTGAGGGTGGCGAAGTACCTAGCGACTACATCAGGCGTGGGGCTAGTTCTTGGAGGGCAGCAGTCTGTCGTACTCACTGGTCACTGTGACTCCTCTTACGCTGACGACGCTGAGACTCACAGGTCTACTCAGGGGTACTGTTTCAGTCTGGGTTCTGGAGCTGTTTCTTGGCGTTCCACGCGCTCCTCTTCTGTCTCGACCTCTACAGCTGAGGCTGAGATTTACGCTGGTGCCATGGCGGCACAGGAGTTGCGGTGGTTGACCTTCTTGCTCGCCGACCTTGGTGAGCGGCCGAGCTCTGCACCGACCTTGTTCACTGACAACAAGGCGTCGATCCTCCTCTGTCGTGAGCCGCGACTGGAGAGCAGAGTGAAGCACATTCACGTCAGGTACTTTCTTCTGCGAGAGTTGCAGAGGCGTGGACAGGCTCGCTTCGAGTTTGTGGAGTCCGAGGCCAACACTGCAGACATCTTCACCAAGGCGCTTCCGCCTCGTGACCACCAGAGGTGTTGTGTGCAGTTAGGCCTTGTTGACACAGGTTCTAGTCATGTGTAGGCTTGAGTTTATTGGCTGCTTCGTCTGTACTCTTGCTATATATACTTGTGATCTCTTGGACTGGTCTTGTGGCCACTGTTGCTTGTGCTCAGAGTGTGTGGTGACGTTGTGATCCACCCTGAGCTTTGTTTTCTTTTGGACTGGTCTTGTGACCGTACTCTTTTTATTTTGCTAGACACCCCTCACTTAGGCTATGGGGGTGTGTCAAATGTTGTAGCCTATAGTGAGGTTTGTCTTAGGGGATACAGAAGTTAGGGTTTGTCATATGTACCCCAACCAACATCAATGGCATCATCCATTCCTCATTCTGATTGTACCGTATCTCATTGTCAAGATGCTGACACCTCTCACGACTAAGTTATACTGGATTACTTGGCGCACAATGATGATGCATTCTACCTGATTTATGCTATAATACTGCGTAGCACCTCCCCACCCCCCAGTAGTTGCCACTGCTAGATCTTGCTAAGTTTTCAATAGTTTTGTAATTGAAATTTCCGTGCACTTATCCTTTCACACCTCATACATAGCGCTTGGTTTTGTCCTGCGGCCAAGTATCTCCATCTTCGTTAGAAAGCTGGAGGTCAGGGATGGGCTTGTGTGCTGGTCACTTCCACCCACCTCAGATGGCACGTCCGTCGTGGCAGTCCACGTGTTCATGGGTACGAACATCACGTCACACGTTTTCGTGGTGGCAGTCGCTCCAGACAACTGGATAGTTTCTGCGGGCGCCAGCGAAGTTCGACGGCTTTCGTGAGCTTCTTCTTGTGCCAATCAATTCGCAAATGTGGCGGGGTCCCCCCTTGTTCCGTTTGTGTGATTCGCACACTTCCATTCCGTCTCGTCCGTCCGTCTACGTTAGCCAGCGAGGACAGGTTCTCATCAACCATCCAAACCCAGACAATGCCCCCCTGTCCAGTAATCCGGAAATGTGGGATCGCCACGCTGGTTCAGCTTGGCCTTGTTGAGTCCATGTACAAAATGGTTTCGTCCGCTTTTCCGTTAGCGATCCGTCGGTTCAACGCCAAACGAGCAACGGTTCCCTCCCACATTCGTGAAGATCCCAAGATTCCTCCCTTTTGCCTCCAATCACCCTGCGTGCCATCTCCTCTCATCTTCCTTCGCACAGCCTTATCCAATTTCAAGGCTTTTCCATTGCCTCTGATATTGGCTTGACTGATCATCTGCCTTGCTACCCGTAGTCATGGAGGCCTCCGTTGGCGTTCTGCAGTCCAGCTCCATGTCATCCTCATCCTTTTACGGATCGCGGCTCCATGCGAAGCCGTCTTCCCTCCCGGCGCAAAGAAATGCCGCTGAAGCGGTTACAGTTCGCGCTGACATGTGGAAGAAGCTCGGTGGCCGAGGACTGATCAGGGAGGACATTTTGAAGAGCGATAAAGCCAATGAGGTCTTGTGGAACCAGCCAGCAAGACCCGGGAAGGACACGACGAAAGAGAAGCTGCCGATCGACAAGGAACTCGTTGAGGGCTTCGACAAGGAGCTCAATGGCCTGACCGGCGGCTTTCCTGGTGGCGAGAAGGTGAGCCTTTGACAGTACAACATTTAGTTGCGGACCAACTCGTTACATATATTTACTCAAGCGATACACATTCAGTAACCTATTGTATGCCCGTACAAAGTTCCAGGTGCGATCGCCATGTACAAACGCATTGTGCGTACAGTCGCCTCTTTTTCTTCCCACTTCTATTGCATTTTGCCCTTAAATGCATCGTTTGTTTTGTACGTTGCGGACCCTCTGGCGAGTTCGTACTTTATCTTTTTATACCGTATGTACTAAAAGCACTTTCGACGTCACTCTTGATGACACAATGCCTCCCTACGGAAAGGGCTCCGTATACTAACTGACCTATGTTCCTTCCACTGTTTTTGTCCTCTCAGGGGCTCGCTACATTCCTGAAAAACAACCCGCTGCCAGCCAAATACGCAGCGGCTTCCTCGGAACTCGCTAACGTTCAAAAGCGGTTGTCTGAAGCTGCAGCTGCCATCGCTTCCTCCGTTCCCAAGCCCCTTGCGCCGCCGTTGCTTATGCCTGGCATGACTGTCAAGGTTATCAATCCTAGGGACGCCTACTACCAGTACTCTGGCATTGTCCAAAGACTGACTGATGGGAATGTCGCAGTGTTGTTCGAGGGTGGCAACTGGGACAAGCTCGTGACCTTCCGGCTGTCTGAGTTGGAAAGGACAAAGAAGGGACCTCCTGGCTCTAACCCTAAGTCCGCGTCCCTTCAGTCAGACCCCGCCTTCCAGAAGTAGGTCAATTAAGGTGTATCATGTAGCCATTCTTCTTCAGGCCTATTGGACAACGATGACGAAGTCCTAATACCGTATGCTGGTTTATTATGGAACCTGTAAATTCTTTGCTTAGCGGTAGCATGAGTTGCAATGGAGGCATCCTCACAACCTGCTTGGAAATCATATCAAATTCTATGGCCAATCTTATCAGGGGAAAGCAGCATGTTGCAGATATGGTATGGCAGTTGTCCCCAGCCTAGAGCAGTGGCAACCAAGTTAAGGAGTCGGTCAGCATGGAGTTATTTATAAGCGATGGTCAACAACAGCCCAACCTCAGAGATTTGACTAAAAACAACACTGTCTGTGCAGCATTTGCCATGGTACTAGCCCAGACCAGATTTCCTGTCCTACACTGCTGTGAATATCTGCTGAGCAAATCTAGACCGAAATGCTGAGCATTGCTCAGAAACTACGGACACACATCCACAAGAACACACCAGCAGCACGAACAAGTGAGATATTCAAAGAGTTCACGATATGAGTGGGGGCTCCGGGTGTGCCATGGTGAAGAGGTGCCTCCCGCCTGTGGCCTCTAGGTCTGCCAGCACTCTCTCTGCTGCCCTGTATCCGCCCACCAGTGCCTTGCCCACTGCCAGGCCGTCCCGGTGGTTGCCTGGGAGCACAGAGTTGTGTTGGGAGTGAGGGAACACTGAGAGGTGCAGGCAGGGAGGCAGGGAGGAAGTGCATGCAGCAGCAGGGCAGGGAGTGCATGGAGCACTAGACCTGGATGTTTTTTTTGGAATCGGCTCAGACCAACGCAAAAGACCTGACGGCCTTGGTTCACACACACAAAGCATGAATCGGATGTATTTGACTTGACACACACAAACGCATGTGCATCAATGGGCCACCAGCGGCAGAAACGGGTGCACTGAAGAGACGAACACGAGAACGAGGACGGGCAGATAAGCAACCGAAAATAGCCGCACCAAACAGGAAAATGCACATGGCTTGTCCAGTAAAAGAAGGCAGAGCAGACCACCCAGCACATCACAGGCGCTAACCCTGCACATGCTGCAGCGCACCTGCCCAGTAGAAGAAGGGCGTGGTGGTCTCTATCTGGCGCATGCTCTCCAACACACCGCCATAGCCGTGCGTGAGCTCCGGGAAGGCTTCATGCCACACCATGTGCCTGGGGGAGCAGGGCAGGGAAGGGAGAGGGGACAAGATGGGGGGAGAGATAGTGAGGGAGAACGTGAGGGGTTGAAGGGGATTGGTACCTGTGATTGGGTGGGCATTGGATGGCACTGCTTGTAACTAACGAGGCATGTAAGGGAGGAGATGGAAGCGAATGGTAGAGAATGGGAGGGAAGGGAAGGGAAGGGAAGGGAAAGGTAGGGACGTGAAGGGAAGGGAAGGGAAGGGAAGGGAAGGGAAGGGAAGGGAAGGGAAGGGAAGGGAAGGGAAGAGAAGGGAAGGGAAGGGAAGGGAAGGGGAAGATAAGTAGTGCGGGGATAAGGTGGTGGAGCGTACGAGGAGAAGATGGGCTTGGCCTTGACTCCGAGGAGGCGCTGCAGATCCGCTAGAGCCATGGCGTTCAGCTCCTCCCTGCCATGCCATGATGTGCCATGCCATGCCATGATGTGCCATGCCAGAATGTATTACAGAAACCCCGACAATTCCATAAAGAAAAAGGAGTAAAAAAACAGGAACAAAAAAGCATAGGAAAGAAAAGAGAAGCCTCAGAGAAGAGACTTGTGCAAAGTATATTGGCAATGAGCAGGGTGGATGCGTGTGCGGAGCAGATGCTCCCATAAAGCATGGAGCAAGGTGCATGTTTGGCTGAGTATGGCCTGTCAATGCATGTGCGCACACACGCTGGAGCTGCAAGTGCACCCGGTCACACACACACACACACAAGCACTCGACATGGCCTTGGCCTCTGTCTCTCCCATTATCCCTTCTCTACCCTTCTCCCCCAACTCTCCCCGCTCTGCCTAGCTGCTGCTACTGCCCCTTTCTCTCCGAGCAACTCACGGGGAGGCAGCAGCACGCATGCCCTTGAAGCATGAGCCACCCACAAACGAGGTGAGAAGATATGGTATTCTGTGTTTTGAATCGACTACCACTCCCCCCCACCGGCCCCGTCTCCCCCCTTCCCCCCATCTCGTCCGCTTGCAGCACGACCTACACGCAGGCAGAGCGCAGGCCCTTGAAGTGTGAGGGAGGGACCCCCACGACGAATGACATGAGCAACACCATGCCCTTGTGTGTGCTTTCAGATAACGTGAGTACAGTCACCACACTGCGGTGCCCAATGCCCGTCGCCTCTGTGCGTGTGTGCGTGTGTGTGGGAAGGGGGGGGGGGGGGGGGGGTGCGTGCGTGGGCGTGCGTGCGTGCGTGGGCGTGCGTGCGTGCGTGCGTGTGTGTTATGTGTGTTGTGCGAAACATCCCCTCCCTCTCCTCCTCTCGCTGCACGGCTCACACGGAGGCAGAGCGCAGGCCCTTGAAGCGCGAGTGTCCAACAAGCGGCGTGAGACGGACTGTGCCCTCGTGTGTTTAGATTCTGACATGGGCAGCACAGAGCACATGGCCTGTGTGTGTGTGTGTGTGTGTGTGTGTGTGTGTGTGTGTGTGTGTGTGTGCGTGCGTGTGCGTGTGCGTGCGCGTGCGCGCGTGTGTGCGTGTGCGTGTGTGTGCGTGCGAGCGCGTGCGTGCGTGCGTGTGTGTGTGTGTGTGTGTGTGTGTAGAATAGAAACCTAGTCCCCCCCCCTCCTCCTCTTGCTGCACGGCTCACATGGAGGCAGTGTGCAGGCCCTTGAAGCGAGAGCCCCCCACGAAGGACGTGAGCAGCACCGTGCCCTTGGGGGCGCGCTGGGGGAACATGGCAGATGAGAAGAGCGCACCTGAGGGGACGAGGGAAGGGGTGACGGGAGGAAGGTGGGGGGGGCGGGAGGAAAAGAGGGTGAGAGAGCATGGGAGGGAGGTAACATGAGCAGCACCGTGCCCTTGAGGGCGCACTGGGGGAACATGGCAGATGGAAAGAGCGCACCTGAGGGGACGAGGGCAGGAACGCGCAGAGGGTGGAGGGGAGGGGAGTGAGGGACGGAGGGAGGGGGGCATGAAGAATGCATGCTGGACGCTTAGTGGAAGGGCAAGGAAGGGGTTGGGAGGATGAGGGAGAGAATGCTGGTACAGGAGGAAGCTGACAGGCATGGGCTGTGGGCATGGGCTGTGGGCATGGGCTGTGGGCATGGGCTGTGGGCATGGGCTGTGGCCATGGGCTGTGGGCATGGGCTGTGGTGAGAACCAGATACCTCCCACTCCTCTATGCAACGGATGCAACACATCTTCTTCTCATTCCCTCCTGCTTACCCTTCCTTCTCTTTGGTCTCACTACCCATGCTTCCCACTTCCCCATTCGCAAGCTTCCTCTCCCCTCTCTCTGCTTTTCCCTCGCAACACCCAGCCGCACTGCGGTTTTTGCAATTCCCTCCCGTTCTGCCCATTACAGGACTCCTGCTATTTTCTGTTCGAAGCGGGTTTGATGACCCTTGGCCGTTTTCGGACCTAGCGATTTGAACTGGTGGGCTGCTGCTTCTTTGGTCGGCACAAGCACGCCAAAACCGGGCAGCGCAGACGAAACATCCTCCTCGCGAAACGCGTTCACCAGCAGGGCCATGGACTGATAGACGGGCAGCTGGATGGGAAGTTTTTGCGGCTGCCCGGACAGCTTGAAGGGCATGTTGGCGAGAGCGGAAAGAGGGGCCTGTGGGCATGGGAGGGCGGGGTTAAAGTGGTGTTGATAGGTGGGGCGGATGATGGTAAGGTGGTGGGGTTAGATGGTGGGAGGTGGAAGGAGATGGTGTGGGGAGACTGTGGGGAGATGGTGGGGAGATGGTGGGAGGAACAAGCATGGAGTGTGGCGAAAGCAGGTTTGGCTTGGCAATGGCATCTCACAGCTTGGTTAAGTTCCAGAGACGATGTAGGCAGGTAACAACCAAACGTGCATCGCATAACCTCACATCCTCATCCCCATCCCCATCCCCATCCCCATCCCCATCCCCATCCCCATCCCCATCCTCATCCCCATCCCCATCCCCATCCCCATCCCCATCCCCATCCCCATCCCCATCCCCATCCCCATCCCCATCCCCATCCCCATCCCCATCCCCATCCCCATTCCATCCCCATCCTCATTCCATCCCATCCCATCCTCATCCCATCCCATCCCCATCCCTATTCCATCCCATCCCCACCAACCCCACCCCCTCGCCACCCCCACCCTTTACCGTGACAACAACAGCATCGAATCTTTCCGCTCCTTCCTCCTTCCCACCCTTGCCCTTGCCGCCACTGCCCCCATCGCCCACGCGCGTGACTGCGAGGGACCAGGAGGGGCGGTGCGGGGGCGAGTGCAGGTCGCAGGAGAGGGCGTCCACGCGGTGGGAGAGACGCAGGGCGGAGGCGGGGATGTGGGTCGCGAGGGAGAGAGGCAGCTCCTGAGACGGGAAGGAAGGAGTGCAGTGCATGCATGCGGTGGGGGAGAGAGGGGGGGATACAGAGGGAGGAAGGGAGAGTACGGAAAGGCATGAGGGCGAGTGGGGATCATATCCTCAGAGGAGGAGGCGAGTGCAGGTCGCAGGAGAAAGCATCCACGCGGTGGGAGAGACGCAGGGCGGAGGTAGGAATCTGGGCCACGAGGGAGAGTGGTAGCTCTTGAGAAAGGAAGGAATGGTAGAGGTATGCGGTGTGGAGACGGGGGTGCAGAGAGAGGGAGGAAGGCAGAGGACGGAGCGGCATGGGAGAGAATGGGGAGCAATCATCACAAGGAGAGGGTGAGTGCAGGTGTCACCATGACTTGGCTTTAAACTCCGCCTACTCATTGTGATTCTTAGGGTCACTTTGACTCCTACTCCTCGCTCGCGTGGATCCTAGCTCCTAGCACGTTAATCGAGCCAGCCGCTTCACACCTGCGGCAGCTCTATGTTGGAAAAGTCGTCAGAAACCATAAGCGCACTCCGTATAGTCGTTTACGAATATACGGTGTACGCAAGTCGTACGTATATTCGTTGGCGAAAGTTCGGGCTGACCCGAAAAAAAAACCAGATTTCAATAGTCGCGCACGAATTGCGAATGTGCAACGCGACTCAAAATGTACGCACGTCTCACCCCAATTTGTACGCACGTCCCAACCACATTGTCACCCACACCTGTCAAAATGTGGGGACGTGGGAAAATTTGAACCGCACTGCACCCTATGCTATCGCGCGACTCCAACACACAAACACGAATGTCGTCAACCAGCGTAGGTGGTTCAACCACATCCTGGACTATAAGGTAAGCTCTCATTCCCGTCATCTGTATTATCTCTCTCCTCGTTCATTCTCTCTCAACACTCCCGCTCACCTGCACTTGATGTCGACTCCTTCTGGTACTCCCGCAAGTGCCACTAGTGAGGCTCCTAGTGTTTCGAATGATGCGACCATGGCGGACGACGAGGATGTTCCTGTGAACACCCATGTTATTTTTAAGCATTTCCTTACCTCTACCGAAGGTACCTCGAATGGTCCTGAGCGTACTCTCCGCACATGCCGGCACTGCAAGCTTAAGTTCGTAGGGGGCGCCTTCTGTTGCGCGCAACACATCACGCGCTGGAAAGGGCTGAAACGGAAGGACGTCCGTCTTTGCAAGGCGCCTATCCCTTCTGCTGACCGCGGCGCCGTCCGCGAATTGTACGAAGGCAAACACGCCCGCAGGGAAGGGAAGAAGAAGGCGGAGGAGATGGCGATTGAGGCGTGTGTGGGTGGAGCGAAGAAGCAGTGCATCGAAGACTTCTACGGGGAAGGGGCGTCGTGCGCGAAGGAATCGGCAGACGATGCCATCTGCCTCATGTGGGCGGCACTTCACCTCCCGGAGCATCTCGCCGATCACCCTCTCTGGCGCAACGCTGTGCGCTGCATCACGGACGCGGGCCATGGCTACGTTCCCCCGAAGCGGCGGTATGTTGGTGGCGCCGGCCTTGCGCGCTGCCGCGAAAAGATCGAGAGAGGGCTCGCTCCCATCATTGCGAGCTGGAAGCGGGATGGCGTGACGATAGGCTCGGACATGATGACGGACAAAAGTGGCCGTCCCCAAGCCAACATCCTGCTCATCAACGATTCCGGTGCAGTGTTCACCGAAAGCATCGACTGTAAGTTGGAGACGAAGACGGGAGGTTACATTGCATCCGTTTTGCGCCCGATCATTGAGAAGGTGGGGCCCGCCAACATAGTTGCGTTGTGCATGGATGGGGGCAGCAATTATGCGGCTGCATGTAGGGAACTCATGCTTGAGTATCCTCACATTGAGCATGTGCCGTGCGCTACTCACGTCATGGATCTGCTCATGGAGGACATTGGGAAAATGGATTGGGCGAAGGACATTGTGGCTAAGGCGGGGGTGATTATTACCTTTGTGCGTGCCCACCATTTCACCAAAGGTTACATGCGAAGCCCGCAGGTGAAGGGAGGGAAGGGGAAGCAGGTGCTGAAGCCGGCGGGCACCAGATTTGGCACGCAATTCATCGCGGTGCAGCGGCTTTGCGAGGTGCGGAGTGCATTGACGCAGATGGTGCTGAGCCCGGAGTGGCAGGCTTGGGCGAAGGGGAGGAAGCCGCCGGTCGAGCCCTTCGCAACCATGATCATGGATGCCGTGTGGTGGAAAGGTGCGGAGTTCTTCGTCGCCCTCCTGAAGATCCCCTTTGTCGTCATGCGCAAGACCGACTCGACGGCCAAGGGCATGATAGGGAGGATGTACGATCTGATGCTGCAGCTCACGGAAGACATCAATGCGAAGCTGGAGGAGGAGGAGGCGGGATTGGTGCTGTCCAGCAATGAACGCACGGAGGTGACCAACATCGTCCAAAAGCGCTGGGACCATAGCATGGCGTGTGCCATGCACGTGGTTGGCCGGATCCTCAACCCGGTCAACCAAGAGGAAGGCATCTTCCGCACCGACCTGGAGTGTACTCGCGTCTTCAAAGCGTTTGTCGCTCGTCACTACGCAGGGCGGACCGTCACGCGCAAGGAGGGCGAGGAGCTGCGCGCATCCCACGTCATCCAGGACGGCCTGACGGCATTCAACACCCTTCAGGAGAGCTTCGGCCTACCCGACGCCATCTCTGACCGTGAGCTCGTGAAGGCCGGTAAGAAGACGGCCGTCCAGTGGTGGACGTGGCACGGGACGGAGCACCCCGAGCTGACAACGCTCGCTTGCCGCGTTCTCTCTCAGCCAGTGTCCGCATCGGCGAGTGAGAGGAACTGGGCAGTGTGGGAATCGATCCACACTGCCAAGCGCAACAGGTTGGGGTCCGAGAAGTGTCGGGACCTCGTGTATGTTGCGCACAATTGGAACATTGTGCGCAACTGGCACAAGGGGGCTGAGGGGGTGACGGTTCTCCTGGGGAACATCCCTGGAGGAGGATGAGGAGGAGGGGGAGGAGGATGAGCTGGAGGATGAGTACAAGTAGAGGAGGAAGGAAGGGACGGGGGGAGTAGAGGGTGGGAGTAGGGGGTGGGGTAGGAGAGATGCATGTTGCTTGCTTAGAGTAGTTGAGAATGTAAGGTTTTTTCAATATATGAAATTCGGTAAAACCACCACTCCCCCCCCCCTCCTTCGGCGGTTTTTTACGTCTGCCCGGTAAAAACCTTTTGCTGCCCGGGCAGCGTACTTTCTGCGACTTTCAAAGTCACTCACGAAGCGCATAACGCACTATACGCAAGCGTATATACGCTTGCGTATAATGCGCTGGGCGCGACTTTTCCAACATAGCGGCACCTTTGCCTCTGTGTAACAGCAGTCCCCGCGGCGCCAGTGGCAGAGGCAGCAAGAGACAGAGGCAGCGAGAGACAGAGGCAGCGAGAGACAGAGGCAGCGACAGTGGGTGGGATCACACCTGCATGCCTGATTGGAAGGAGAATGAGACGCCCTTGGGCCGCGGAGCGAGGACTTTGGACGCTCCAGTTGATGCGGCGGTGCTGCCCTGCTGTTTAGCCTGCTGCTTCCTGGCCTTGGCCTTGGCCATCTGAGTCTTCACCATTCCCACCAGCAGAGAGCCATGCCTGCTCACAGCATGATACATACGCGCAAACCCACACATGCGCACATGCAGAAGTAGATGCGGATGCATGGGCACATGGACAAGGACACGCACACATGCACAGCAGCACAGGCACATGCACAGGACATGCACACGCATAGGCACAGGCACATGCACATGAATACACGCATGTTCTCACATCCAGAATCACACATGCACGGAGACACATAGGAGAAGAGCTGCATGAACATACATGCGTATACTGTGTCTAAGGACCACAGGACCTAGACACGACACAACACATGTGTGCTGAGAGTGCAAAAGCGAGATTAGAAGGAAGCGAATGTGGAAGTGAATGAGAGCGCTCGTGAATGAGAGCACTCGTGAATGAGAGCACTCGTGAAGGAGAGCGCTCGTGAGTCTGAAGGGAGATGATAGCACAACAAGGGGGTGGCATATTGGAGTGCACAGGCGCAATGGTCACTGCACTGGAAGAATTTGTGTGTACACATAGACGAGCGTTCGTGTGTGCGTGCCGGGTGGGTAGGTGTGTGCGTGCGTGCGTGCCTGGGTGGGTGGGTGGGTGTGTGCGTGCGTGCATGTGCGGAGAGCAGGGTGCAGGCAAGCCACTCCCTCTACCCCGCCCCTGCACTCACTGCTGCTCCAGCTCCCACACCTCGTGGAACACATGCTTCATCTGCACCACAGCACAAAGGCCATGGGGACACGGCGGGGAGAGAGAGGGGCGGGTGAAAGTAGCAGTGAGGGTTCAGGCAGGGGAGACGAGGTGTGTTGGGCACTCACTGCTGCTCCAGTTCCCACACCTCGTGAAACGCGTGCTTCATCTGCGGCACAGCACACCGGGCATGGGGGCAAGGCAGGGAAAGTGAGGGGTGGGGGGAGAGGGCTGAGGCAGAGGAAAAGAGGCGTGCGCAGATGGCGGTGCAGATGGTGGAGATGGCTTCAAAGTCTCCGGATGATGAAGGGTGTACGGAGAAATGGGTGCTGGAACGATCAGCATCCATGGGCGCGGGATGGGAGGTGGGTGGGGAAGGGAGCGCACACAGACATATGGTAGGAGAGAGAGCTTGTGCTGTACAGCATGGCATGGCATGGCATGGCATGGCACGAAACGACACGGCATGACATGTAAGATCACGGCATGGCATGGAATGGCATTTTACGGCATGGTACGGCACGGTACGGCACGGCACAACATGACACGGGGAGGCATACGAGGAGGTCGTTGGGGTCGGATCCTGTGGTGCCGGCACAGAATGGGTCCACGATGTAGTCCACGGGCTGGGAGGGCGATGGGTGGCGTGCATGGGGTGCATGCATGTGCGGGGCGGAGAGGAAGAGGGCGGAAGGTGTTTTTGAGATTCCCCAACGGCCAACTGGTCGCATTGCATGCACTCCCCACTGCCGGCACAGAAGGGGTCCACGATGTAGTCCACGGGCTGGGAGGGCGGTGGGTGGCGTGCATATGCGAGGAAGGGTGGAGGGGAGGAAGAGGGCGGAGGGTACTTGTGGAAATTCAAGAACCATATCTCTGCTTGTCGCATGCACTCCCCACTGCCGGCACAGAAGGGGTCCACTATGTAGACCACTGGCTGGAGGGTGGTGGGTGGGGTGCATGGGGTCCATGGGGATCCATGGGGGTGCATGGGGTGGGTGAATGGGGTGCATGGGGTGCATGGGGTGCGTGGGGTGCGTGGGGTGCGTGGGGTGCATGGGGTGCATGAGTCGTTTGTGCAGGATGCAGGGGATGATGGGAGGGTGGGGGGTTGACGAAAGCGAGAAGCGAGTAATGGGAAGGAGAGGAGATGCGGAACTATGCCCAGAAAGGGGTTAAGGTGTGCACAGGGTGGTGTGAGGGCGGTGTAAGAGCGTGGAAGAAAGAAGACCGGCATGAGGAGAAGCAAGGGAGGGAATGAAGAGCATGAGCGGCGAGAGGGAACGTGTGAGGGACGATTTGGTCTGTCTGGGAAGGGGTCACTGATGCAGGCAACAGCCCTAGGTGGTGGCGTTTGCGCGGAGGAAGGGAGGGAAGTTCACGTTCTCATGATAAGAAATGAAGCTTTTTACAGATCCACCGCTTAGTGTGTGCGAAACTGTGTGGGCGCAGCTGGATGAGCACGGCCCATGATCGTGCAAGATTATAACTTTCAAGATGCCTCACGTGGAAGTGGTACCATTAAAACTGGAGGTTTGTATTCCCATCCCAAAATACCCCCTTATTTTGCCACTCCATGCGGTCTTCTTTCTCCTTTCTTTTGTCTCTTTGACTCTGATATTCGTCTTGTTCTTCGTGCTGCAGAGCCCGATCACCTATTGCATCAGTCGCAGTAGGATTTATTCGTGAACAACAGAATCCATTTAGTTATTCAAAGCAATTTGCTAAGTATGTCATGTCTTGTGACGATTGTTTTTTCGGGGTTTAGGGTTTTTGTTTTGCACACAAATGACAGCGCGCGTCATTTTTCTCGAGCAATGCATTATTTTCAGGTTATTTTTCTGATTGTTTCTTTGTTTTTGTACCCTCAATCCAACCTCATCCAAAGTTGGGGCATGCAATGTTGGAAGCTTAAGACATCGTAGTGGCTCAGCAATCTGAGATGGGCGTCCCAACTAGTGGGAGTGGGGAAGGGGAAGTGGGAGAGCGGAGACGGTAGATGGGAGACTGGCTCCCCTCTCCCACCCCCAATCTCCCATCCGTTGTCTCCACTCTCCCACTCCCCCTTCCCCACTCCAACAAGTTGGGACGCTCACATTGCTAAGCCACTACGATGTCTTAAGCTTCCAACATTGCATGTCACAACTTCGGATGGGTACAAAAACAAAAAAAAAATAAGAAAAGAAAATAACCTGAAAATGTTGCATTGCTCGAGGAAAATAGCGCGAGCTGTCATTCGTGTGCAAAACAAGAACATTAAAATTGAAAAACAATCGTCACAAGACATGACTTACTTCACAAATTGTTTCGAATAAATAATATAGATTCCGTTGTCCATGGATAAATCCTACTGCGACTGATGCAATAGGTCATCGGGCTTTGCAGCACGACGAACAAGACGAATATCAGAATCCGAGCGACAAAAGAAAGGAGAAAGGAGATCGCATAGAGTGACAAAATAAGGGGATTCTTTGGGGGGGAAAACACATCTCCAGTTTTAATGGTAGCACTTCCACGTGAGGCTCCTTGAATGTAATCAGCCATTTCTTATCAGATGTTGCATGCATAAACGTGTTGCACACATGTATGGATGTGGATGGATGCATGTGTGGACGTGTGCATGCATGCATGTGTTCCATTCTATGTGGTGCATTGCATGCATGGATATGAGGGCACATGTGTCTCACTCACCTCAGGCCCCACATGTCGCTCCAGAAAGCTCCGCACACTGAGACAAAGAGGGACGGGCACAGAGGAGAGGATGAGGCACGGGGGCATGAAGGCATGAGTTCAGAAAATGCACGTACGTAGCTCGTGCATCTGTCTGCACACCATTCCCCCTCGGTGTGACTTTTGAGAATTTTCAAAAGTCACACCAATATGTCCCCTCGCCCCACGACAGACAGCCCTACGCACTTCCACCACATCCCCCACCACATCCCCCACCACATCCCCCACCACATCTTCCCCCATCCAACCAAAATTCCCTTCCCCCCCCACTTCATCATTCCGCCAGCCCACATCTCCCCTTCTCTCAAGCACCCATCCTTTCCCTCTCGTTGCTCCCACTCCCTTGCCTCTTCCCCTGAGCACACCTCTCCTCATCAGCATTGGATCCAGGGGAAAGCCTCTTCCACAGCAGCGGCTCTGCTAGCATGCGCAGCTAGGGGGAAGAGGGGGAGGGAGAGGGGGAAATGTGTGTGAGAGGGAGAGAAGGGAGGAGGGTAGGGGAGAGGGATTTGGAACGACCAAGGTGGAAGCGGAAGGTGAGGGGCGGAATGGGGTGGGGAGAGGGGAGGTGCGCAGAGGGGAAAGAGGAGGGAGGGAGGAGGGGAGGGAAGAGGGGAGGGAGGATGAGAGAGAAGGGGAGTGGGAAAGGGAGAGCGGCGGAGAGCGAGAATGGAGTGAGAGGGAAGAGAGAAGGGGAAAACCAGAACTAGAGGCCTAGAAAGGAGAAGCAGAGAAGGATAAACAAATGCATGCACATCAGCTCTTCAGTTATCAGCGAGAGAGAGAGGAGAGATGCATAAAGAGGTGCGTAGGATGGAAGGGACGGGGGGTTAAAAACGAAAGAAAGCGGTCGCTCATGCAACCGTCATACATGTCATTCCCCCATGCTCACACCCATACACCCACTATCCCCATGCATGCACGCATCTAAGCACCCACCCACCCACACGCCCACCCACCCATGCCCCCATACCCCATAACATGCCCCCATGTTCCCATTCCATGCCAGGTGCACCCAGGAGCACCTTGGCAGGGAGGGAGAGGAGTGGCGTGGTGAGGAACTCGGGCAGACTGGCTGGGAGCTGCCAGGGGGGACAAGGGGGGGGGGGTTAAGGGGGCAACGGGGGGCAAGAGAGGGCAAAGGGGGCAAGGGGAGAAGTGGGGTAAGGGGGGCAAGGGTTGCAAGGGGGACAAGGGTAGTGGAGGAAAGGGGACAGCGAAGAAGGCGGTGAGAGGAGGAGGAGAGAGCAAAGGGGAGGGACGGGAGGGCAAGAAGAAGGATACAGAGAAGAGAGGCAGGGCAATGTTTGTGTGCAGATGGAGAAACGAGTGAATAATGTACTGGCACCGATTCAGAATGCGCAGGTGCGCGTGATGGAGGAACGGAGTGGTGACAAACCGGGATGGGCAATCAAAGAGGGTGCCAAAAAGAGGGTGCCAAAAAGAGGGTGCCAAAAAGAGGGTGCCAAAAAGAGGGAGCCAAAAAGAGGGTGCCAAAAAGAGGGTGCCAAAAAGAGGGTGCCAAAAAGAGGGTGCCAAAAAGAGGGTGCCAAAAAGAGGGTGCCAAAAAGAGGGTGCCAAAAAGAGGGTGCCAAAAAGAGGGTGCCAAAAAGAGGGTGCCGAAAAGAGGGAGCCGAAAAGAGGGTGCCGAAAAGAGGGTGCCAAAAAGAGGGAGCCAAAAAGAGGGTGCCAAAAAGAGGGTGCCAAAAAGAGGGTGCCAAAAAGAGGGTGCCAAAAAGAGGGTGCCAAAAAGAGGGTGCCAAAAAGAGGGTGCCAAAAAGAGGGTGCCAAAAAGAGGGAGCCAAAAAGAGGGTGCCAAAAAGAGGGTGCCAAAAAGAGGGTGCCAAAAAGAGGGTGCCAAAAAGAGGGTGCCAAAAAGAGGGAGCCAAAAAGAGGGTGCCAAAAAGAGGGAGCCAAAAAGAGGGTGCCAAAAAGAGGGTGCCAAAAAGAGGGTGCCGAAAAGAGGGAGCCGAAAAGAGGGAGCCGAAAAGAGGGAGCCAGGTAAGACATACATGGGACATTCCCCAGTTCTCTTCGGGCAAAAGACATGGGTTCACTTGGGGAATGGGGCGGTGATAAACTGTGGGGTGACGACTCCCAGTGAGTGAGGTAAGGGGAAGGAGAGGGACGAGGAGGAGCAGGAGTGGGAAGTGATGTGAAGGAAATCAGCGGGAGGCACGCACGCTGCTGTTCTCTGCACTTCCACCCCATGCCCGCTTTCCTTCCCCTCCCTTAATGCCCGTCCCATCCCCATCCATCCCCATCCCCATCGATCCCCATCGATCCCCGCCCCCGCCCCCGCCCCCGCCCCCGCCCCCGCTCCCGCCCCCGCCCCCTCCCCCGTCCCCCTCCCCGTCCCCCTCCCCGTCCCCCTCCCCGTCCCCCTCCCCGTCCCCCTCCCCGTCCCCCTCCCCGTCCCCCTCCCCGTCCCCTCCCCGTCCCCCTCCCCCTCCCCGTCCCCCTCCCCCTCCCCGTCCCCCTCCCCCTCCCCCTCCCCCTCCCCCTCCCCCTCCCCCTCCCCATCCCCATCCCTCCCCATCCCTCCCTATCCCTCCCCATCCCCATCCCCATCCCCATCCCCATCCCCATCCCCATCCCCATCCCCATCCCCATCCCCATCCCCATCCCCGTGCCCATCCCCATGGCTATCAACACACAGGGGCAGGAGCACCCACCAGGGTAGGCTTGCCATTCTTCACTACATAGCGCTTGGACTGCTGCTCGGGCTGGTACCATGGGAATATGCAGCACACATGCACATGCATGCACAGTGACACTCGTGCATCGCACACACATACATGATGGCACATGCACATGCACACAAATATGCACACGCACATGCACACGCACACAGGCACAGGCACGTGCACATGCACATGCACATGCACATGCACATCAAAGCACATGCACACGGACGGAAACTCATATCAAAGCACATGGACACAAACGGAAACTCATATCAAAGCACATGGACACAAACGGAAACTCATATCAAAGCACATGGACACAAACGGACGCTCATATCAAAGCACATGGACACAAACGCACAAGTGAGCAGGAGATGAGAGAAAGGAAGGCACAGGAGCATTTCACATGGGCAGCATGTAAGACGGGCATGTGTATGTGTGATTGGCACATGCAATTGCCATGTGCCATTGGCATGTGTCGTTAGAAGGTGCAAGACATGTACCAACCACTGCTGCTCTCAGCAACCCCCCTGCCCTACCTGTCACCACTGCTCTCACCAGCACCACTCGGTCATGCAGCCCCAGGTCGTCTATAATGCGACCCACTAGCGGCTCGTTCTCCGTCTGCGGAGGGAAGGGAAAAGAAGGGAAGGTTGGGGTTCAGTGAGAGGGGTAGAGTAGAGGGAGCGATAGAAAGTGAGGGCGAGAAGGGAAGGGCAGGGCGGAAACAGGCACGAAGGATGGTCAGGGAAGAACGGGCGGGGGGGGAGAGGGGGGGGGTGGGGGGGCGAAGAGAGAGGATGCGAGATGGCAGTGGCAGGTCGGAACGGCACGGAGCAAATGGGAGCGATGGGTGGCGGCAGGGCAGAGCAGGAATTGAGAGCGAGTGGTGGAAGATGCATGCACAAACACGCGTGTCATGCGGTGCTACGCCATGGGGTGTGGGCACGCACACATGCCATGTAAAGGCAGGGAGGGCGAGCGAGGAACACGGCATGCAGATGCAAAGCACACTGATTAGTCGCAAGTGCCCTGCCGCAACACACACACAACCTCCATCCAGCCCCTTTCATTTATTCATTCATACATGCATTCATTCATCCCCTCCACCCACGCACAACTCGACCTATTCACCAGTCAACTCAGGTCAGTCGAAGCCACCACCATCCAAGACGCACAACACTGCTCGGGCCCACCCCCATCGCCCCAGCATCCAATCATCCCCCCAGCCCCCATCATCCCAACTCCCATCATCCCCCCACCCCCCCAATCACCTCGCATGCACACACACGCACCCACCCACCATGGTGTTGGCGCCAGCGTCCCATCGGAAGCCGTCAAGCACCTCAACCCCACCCCCCATCCCGCACCCCACACCCCCCACAAGCACGCACCCACCCACCATGGTGTTGGCGCCGGCGTCCCATTGGAACCCCTGTTCTCGGTGCGACCACAGCTTGCCGCCCACGCGCGCGTCCGCCTCGTACACCACCACCTCCGCGCCCCCCTGCTGCAGCCGCCACGCCGCCGCCAGCCCGCTGCGGATGGCGCGGGGCGGTGAGATGAGACGGTCCTCCGCGCGCCCGCCCGCGCCCACCGTTGTTCCGCCGCAACCACGGTGGCGGTTGCGGATGAGGCGGGGGGAGAGGAGGAGGGGGAGGGGGAGGGGGAGGGGGAGGGGGAGGGGAAGAGATGAAAGGGGGGCGAGGGGAGGGGCGGGGGAAGGGAGGAGGGGAGAGTGGAAGGAGACGCCAAAGGGGTTTGTTTGGGGGGAGTGGGAAGGAAGGAGGGGGGCATGGAACAGCAAGGCAGCAGCTGCAGGAGCGTTTTGAGTCAACTTAAACCACATTTGGGAGGAGTGGGAAAGGAGGAGGGTATGTAGCCGGAAGGCAGCAGCAGCAGGAGTGACGTGCTCGCTAGTCTGCACTGCAACAACTCATGCATGGCACGCTCTCTCAACTGTCTCACTCGCACACATGCTACCTTTCAATCCCGCGTTGACTCGAGTAACCATGACGTTGACTGACGTTGACCCACGTTGACTCACCTGACCCCTGCTCCAATGACCGCTACTCGTCCCAGCGGAGGGGTTGTTGCTGCTGCTGCTGCTGCTGCTGATGCTGGCGATGTGGGCGGGGGAGACGTAGGGAAGACAGGCATAGGGGCAAGAGGGAGAGGAAGAGGAAGACGGTGGGAAAGAAGAGTGAGAATTGATGCGCACAAACGCTAACTCTCCTCTCATCGCAACCGCTAGCCGTTCGGGTGCAGGCAGCTATCTGGCCCGTACCAGCCTCGCCCCTCCTCGTTCCTACACAACCATCTCCACCACCACGCACCGCGCCGCGTGTATGCGCGGCCGGTGGGTGTGGGCATGTGCCTGTTCTTCACCTGGAATTCCAGACGGCGCGGTTGGGTGAACAGCATGCGCCTTGGAGGGCTCTTTGAAAGGACCTGGGCGAGGCATGCTGGACGAATGAGGTGGCGTGTTCAGAGAAATGAGGAAAATGCTCACGTTGAAAAACAATATATGTAACAACTTACGACTTCAACAGCATGGGGACGTAGCTCAGATGGTAGAGCGCTCGCTTAGCATGCGAGAGGTATGGGGATCGATACCACTTCTCCAGGTTTCGATGTTTGATTTTGTTCCCTGGAAGAGTTTGTTTTTATAATTTTAAAATTATTTTATCAACATGTTCACTGTGCGGGGATAGCTCAGTTGGGAGAGCGTCAGTCTGAAAATCTGATGGTCGCGTGTTCGATCCACGCTCACCGCAATGTTTTGTTGTCTGTCTGGGCATGTCATACTTAAGGTTTGTTTTCAGCCCAAATATCACTGTTCAGACTGGTGGGTGACAATTGAAAGCCTGACAAAAGGTAAGTGCATCAAGTCTGACCTGCCCTCAGCCTGTCATGCAGCCCCCGATCAGTCTGAGTTTGCGGCATCTACGCATGACAGCAAATTTCATAGCTTTGTTTCTGGGTATCTGATTGATCAATCCGCCAAATGTTGTCTGTCTCACTAACCAGTGTACCGGACTAGCTGCGTTCTTTCAAGGCAGCAATGGTACGGTATCTTATCACTCACAAAGCCCACCCAGTACTCGGTGCAGGGGTTTCCAAGTACAGCAAAAACGATATTCAAAAGGCTAATACGGTACAATGGTTGAGCAAGCATTTCCCTCTTACGTTTGTCAGTAATTTGACTCCCCCCCAGCTCCAAGCATTGCAGCATCCAAATACAGCAAAAACGATATTCAAAAGGCTAATACGGTACAACGGGTGAGCAAGCATTTCCCTCTACGTTTGTTAGTAATTGGAACTCCCCCCTAGCTCCAAGCATTGCAGCATGCATGGTTCTGTAGCAGCGGGATTAGGAGGGTGTGTAGCAGATGCATGGGAGAAGGGGTCTGCAGCAGAGGCATCGGATGGGGCACCTGTAGCAGAGGCATGGGTTGGGGGCAGCAGAGCCTGCAGCAGCACGTGGCGAAGGGCAGGCAGCGAGGCTGCAGCATGCAGAGCTGCTCTCAGCTCCCATCCCCTGCGGTATGCTCCCTGGTGAGCAAAGGACACAGAGCGACCTGCTTGGGACACACAGGGTCGCGGATGGGAAAAGGGGGAGGAAGGGAGGGCAAGAGAGGGGGAGGTGAGTGGGTTAGTTGAGGCGCCGGAAAAAATGCTCTCAGCTCCCACCCTCAGCGATACACACCTGGTGGGGTCATGCGTGCAAAGAGGTGTGGTTGGAGAGTCATAGGAAAGAGGGAGTGGGGGGGTGAGATGGTGAATGGTTGGTACGGGAATCATTCAGAAATGGAAATCCAGCCCCAATGCCCCTGTCCTTCCTCCCACTCTCCTACGACCATCCCCCTTCTCACCTGCCCCTCGCCGCCCGAGCATGTACTCCATATGCAGACGAATGCCGGGCCAGGTTACCGAGCCTGACTCCACCGAGCCTAGCTGCTGACACAGGGCGAGGTACTCCAAGGCCACTGAGAGGCGCTCCTCCCGAGAGGTGATTCCCCCGCTGAGGATCTTGGGGTCGTGTAACACGCCCTCTGCTGACATGGCACCGTCTGCCCCGGTGAACGCCAGGTTGGCTGCCACGTCAGCAGGTGACGAGATGTTGCCGTTGCTGAGCTGGCATAGGTAGAAGGGAGACGAAGCCGGAAATGCAGATAAGTAGGCGGAGGATGGTGTTGGGAACCGGATGAATGGGATTTGGAATGGAAAAGCGGGGGCGAAGAGGACACACAGTGACACGACATGACACGACATGACACGACAATTCCATGACATGGCAGAGACGTGGCAAGGCAGCACTGACCACGGGGATGGCCAGCGCCTGCTTGACAGCTCGCACGGCTGCCAGGTCAGCGGGGCCCACTCGCCTTTTGACAGTGCCAGCTGGCATGCGCGCGTGCAGCGCAATGAGCGCGCAGCCGGCGTCCTGCAGGCCACGACAGAGGGCGATGGTCTGATGGGGTGAGAGGTGTGTGGGGGGGCGGGGGGAATGGGGGATGGGGGGGAGGGGGAGTATTATTACGGAGGGAGGGGGGAAGTTGATAATGAGCGAGGGAGAATGGAGGGGTGGTGAGAAGCTGCCATGTCTCTGTGGAGAAGCGGGGGGAAGGAAGGGGCGGAAAGGGAACAAGCTTCTGCTTGCAAAAGCGGTTTCTGAGATTACTGGAACAGAGAAACAATAGAGATGCCTTTCTGTTTGCAAAGATCTGGATGACTGTGTGTTTAATACAGCCTGCTTGCATTGCAAGCAGACCAGCACACGTTTTGCAAGTGGGCGAAGCATGGCACGTGCATGAGGCAGGGCAGGTGGAGTGACACGAAGGGGGCGGTGGATGGGGGGAGGAGCTTCACCTATGCACCCTTGGGTGCTTGGCTAGTTGCGGGTTTGGCAGACCCCAGTTTTGACGTACGTGTCAACAGGACGTGCAGCAGAGACACGGTAGAGTGCACTGGTGGGGGGCAGGGAGCAGGGAGAATCACCTGGGGCAGGGAGGGCATGAGGCGGATCTTGCAGAAAATTGGGATGGGCAGGTGCGATGCCATGGCTCGCACCATGGCGTACACACGCGGCAGGTCCTGCTCACAGTGGAGACATGGGACATGAGACATGGGGCATGGGGCATGGGTCATGAGACATGGGGCATGAGACTTGGGGCATGGGGCATGGGTCATGGGGCATGGGGCATGGGGCATGGGGCATGGGGCATGAGACATGGGGCATGGGTCATGGGTCATGAGACATGGGGCATGGGTCATGGGTCATGGGTCGTGAGGGGACAGTGGACTTTTGAGACGTCTCAGAAGACTCCATGGCTCTCAGTCTCTCACCATGGCATAAACGCGCGGCACGTCCTGCTCATGGTGGGGCGGGGACATGGGGCATGGGGGGAAGGAACACGGAAAGAAGCATCAGGGCAGCGGCGGAGTGAGGAAAGAGGAGGTAGTGCGCAATAGGGCAGAGAGGAAACAGCGGAACGGGCTAGACGGGCATGGAGAAGCTGAGCTGAGCACAACTGGAACGGACACCATTCTCATCCCCACCCCTCAACCCACACCCCCCCCCCACCCCCAACTCCCCACCCCCCACCCCCCACTCCCCACCCCACACCCTCCACCGCCCACCCCCACCCACCCCTCACCCCTCACCCTGAGGCTTACCCTGTCCACCCTCTTCTAGGTGCATGCTGACCAATGGCCATTACACACGTGCACCTCAACTCAACTCAACCACACTCTCTACCTCCCCGCTCTCCCTCCCTCCCTACTGACCCTTCCACTTACCCCTGTCACGACCGTGCGTGCTTGCTAGTCACCTTTCCATCATCAAAGACTTCATTCCTCAATCGCCCTATATTGAGGGCCTTGTTTGTGATTACCTTATCATTGAGGAGGTACGCCCCGTAGTGGCCCTGCTTGGCGCGCAGCTGAGGGCAGCCCAGGTTCACGTCCAGGGCCACCAGGGGCGAGGGGGGCAGAGGGGGAGGCGAGAGGCACAGGGATGGCGCTAGGTGGGGCGGTGATGCCTGTGTGCCACGTGTCATGCACTCGCCGGCGTTGCCATACCCACCGCACCAGCACCCGCTGCTGTTGAGACTGCTGCTGCTGCTGCTGCTGCTGCTGCTGCTGCTGCTGCTGGTGCTGCCGTTGGCAATACTGCTGCTAGGTCTCGTGGCACATTCAGCAGCATCGTCGTCGCTGCAGCCTGCACTGGAAGCACAGGGAGAGAGAGCACGGCAGTAAGAAGCACACAACGCATGACAGAGAGAGCAGCAAGCGAAGCATGTGCATATGCATGTGCACGCGCGCGAACGCGCATCGCAAGTGGAGGTGCCACCACTGGCACAGCACAGCCAACAACACCCGCCCGTCCGCCACACATACCTCCCTGCCCAACCGTCCTTCACCCCAGCTCTGCTGCACATCACCCCACCTGCTGCGCCCACCACTCTCTCTCTCTCTCTGACTGCTCTCTGCCACTGCCGCCCTCTTTTCTCTCTTCTCCCTCCACTTCCTTCCTGCTCTCACACGTGCCATGATGCTCGCACGTCTCGACACGACTACGTCCACGTTGCTCCACTGTACCTGCTGCTCCCTCTTCTCCGCTCTGCAGCCGCCCCTCCTTCGAATCCCACACCTCCCCCTGTCTTTCAACCCCTTCTTCACCTCTACACACACGCCCCGCTTCTCCTCCTCCTCCTCCTCCTCCTCCTCCTCCTCCTCCTCCTCCTCCTCCTCCTCCTCCTCCTCCTCCTCCTCCTCCTCCTCCTCCTCCTCCTCCTCCTCCTCCTCCTCCTCCTCCCTCCCTTCGTTCTGCCTCTGCAGCGTCCCCCCCTTCAGCTCGCATCTCGTTCGATTCCCCTCGTCTCCCCATCCTCTCCTTTTCCCCACTTGCTTTCGTCTCTCCCGCCTTCTCCCTCCCCCCCGCCCGCTTCTGCTCCCCCTGCGTGCCTTCCCCGGTGCTCTGCACGCGCCCAGCCTGCGCCGGTTGCTCCACGCGCGCCATGTGCGCGAGCACCGCCCAGCCCGCGCGCACCATCTCCGCGGGGTCGTTGCCCGCCAGCTGTGCGACCAGCGGGCCGTCGCACGCGTGCGACTGCAGGGCCCGCGACAAAAAGCCCGGGTCGCTCAAAATCGCGTCGCTGGGCGAAGGCGGGGAGGAAACGGGAGGGGCGGGCTCCCGGGAAGGGAGAGAGAAGAGGGGGGGCGGGGGGGGGGGGGGGGGGGGGGGGGGGGGGGGGGGAGAGTGGAGGAGGGAGGAGTGAACGGACGTGGAGCGAGAAGACGAAGACAGGAGCAGGCGCCATGCGCCATGCGCCCAATGCAGGAACAGCGGTCACGCACCTCCGCGGATTCTATCAGGACGTTCCACGCACGGACCTGTGGAGCATCTCCGTGTACGCGATAGTAGCTCCGTAGCGGCGACACAAGAGGCGGAACGGCAGGTCACTCTGCCCCACCATGGGCGCGACGGCGTAGCGCACGTCGAAGCCGAGGGGTTGGGGTTTCCGGCGCGCACTCCCCGCCATGTTGCCTCGTGACGTTCGCTTAGCGGAGCGCGAATGCTAGTAGGGCGCAAGGCGACGAGCGCAAGGAGCGCGAGAAAGCCTCAAGCGTCAAAGGTGGCGTGGAGTGGAACATTGGCGCTGTTCTGTAGGCGTTAAATTTCGGGAAACTGGGTCCGCAGAATCTTCGTCGATAAGTGGTTTTCTGCCTATCAAAGTTCGTTGATAAGCGAATTCCTGCCGAACCTGTTCGCGCCTTTTTTAACGCTCTCGCCTGCAGAACACCACTTTTAGGGCGCACAAGTTTAACCGTCTGCAGGCTCGAAGATGTTGCTTCGCCTGGCAAATGGCCGCACAACTTGTGCGGTGCTGATTCTACCTCGGGAGCTAGCATCAGCCTCCGCACAAGTTATGCGGGGCAGGAATTTCCGTGCAGCGCAACCAGCGTGAATGCGCTAAGAAATTACGCAGAAGGCTACGGCGGTCAAATTGGTGCGCAGCCAACAACGCCTGCAGAACAACGCCATTGGTTCAACTTTTGAAAGAGGCTCGAATCGAACTTGAACTTGGAGCAACCCCATGTACCTCGGATGAGCAGAGCATCTCTGCAGATAAAATAGAAGCATTTCAGTTCAGGAGCAAGTTTGTCGCAGTAGCCAACAAAGAGTACAGAGTTTCCACTGGGGTCAAAGCAGTTTCATTCACCACCTCAGCAGGATTTTCTTCTCACTCTCACCACCACAGCGTTCCGCTCCCTGCTGCTCTAAGCTCTCCGCTCTCAGAAGCTTCTCATGGCGCTTTGGCATCCAATACAGCAAGTAGCAAAAGTTCACACAGACGCCATGTGGCGATGGAATGGTGCTTGACCTCGGCGGAATTCTTGAATCCTTGTCTTTCTAGCTTCCTCGAAGCCTTTCTCAGAACCAGCGACGCCACACCCGGCGAGTTTAGCTGCATGGCTTGGGCTCATGCCTCGACGCGCCAACGCCGGGAGGTTCACGAGGTTGGAGCTCTCGCGATGTTTCGTGATTATTGTGACGGCGCGGTGCAGCGATTTGTTCTCCGAAGGACGCCATGGGTGGTACTCGAACGTAGAATCTCCCGACGGCTCGAGGCGCGATGCTGCATATTTAAACGGCAGACGCGGGGGACCGTTACCATCGCATTCAACAGCCGAGAATTCAAGAGCTCCAGTACTACTAATTCAGAATTCATTCACCTACTTTTAGGGTTCTCCAGCTTCCATCACACCATCCGTAATTAGACTGCTGGGGATTCTGACTTCACCAGATGGCAGGCCAAAAGTTCCTTGTCGCTTCGCTTCTCTTGCTGCTGGCCGTTCTTCTCAGCATCTCCGACTTCCCTTCTGCTCACGGTACGATTGTCTCGCCCTAGTACCCCAAAACACTGAAGCATCCAGTGATCACATCACATCATGTAGGCATGGCTTCATAGTCCTGTATTAAGGAAAAAAACACTCGCGAGCAACATTGAAACATTGCCGTTTTTCCCCTCCAGGTGCAAGAGCTCCATTCGCGAGCGTTGCATCCCCCGCTACAGTCACACGGAGGAGAGTGCTGCACAGCTCCAAGACATGCACGGACAAGTACGAGTCGAAGCTGCAACGGTGCGAGGACAAGGAGACACAGTGCATCGACCGCGCGCGGGACTGGCGGCACGAGCAGAAATGCACGGAGAAGCGCGGCGAGTGCGAGTGGGACGCGAGCGACGCATTCAACGAGTGCCAGGAGGAGTGTGTTGAGAAGTGCGACGAGCAGCTGAACGAGTGCTATGATGATCACGACCACCATCACGACAGCCGCAAGTGCGACAGGAAGGACCAGAAGTGCCGTGACAAGTGCAACTGAATTGGACTGAACTAAAGCAGGGGAGGGAGGGAGCAATAGGTGAGGGAGGTGCAGCAGGATTTGCACATAGTGTGCCTTCTTTTTTGAATGTGATGTGATGGGTTGGGTTGGGTTGTGTGTTTTGTGTGTCTGTTATTGACTTATGGTTGTATATACCTCCATTACCGTACCATACCACCCTACTGTGTCTCAGCACAGCCACATCAGAGCAGAGCAACGCTGCTTTTATGCATGCAAGGCAGGGCATGCCTTGCTAGCAACACACAGTGCTAGCCTGGGGTATGAAAGACTTCGTACGGAATGCAGGTACGGTACTATAATACGGTAGTGGGGTTGGGCGTGGATTAGGTTAGGCCCAAGGAGCACGTGCAGGCCCAATCTGGTCAAGTCAACCGCTTTACCATGTTGGAAATCCGAATACAGTATAACGAATACTGTATACCAGTGTGCTGTTTGGTTTTAGTGTAGTCCTCTTTATAAGCTTCCAGGTCCTACAATTATTGTAGGGGCCAGAATTATTGGAGGTCAGCATTATTGGAGGGTAGAGGGTACAATTATTGGTACACCATTATTGGTGTGAATGGGTCATTCTGGAGGGGTAGCTGGATGCATATATACCCTGCTGTGTCACATCATTGAGTACACATTGTGTCATCATTCTACTTTTCAATGATCAATGCAAGATTTCTATCTTGTTCTTTCCTACAAACACGTTTCCGCTACGCTGGCACTATGCCTTTCTAGCATGGTATCAGAGCTACTCTAGGGGGCATGCTGCCAAAACTGGTTCAGGAATTTACTGGCATACAGTTTGGATAGGTACCTGCATACAGTCGGAGTACCGCACACCTGGTCTACGCTTTCGTACACCTGGTGTTCGCTGTTGGTTACAACTGCGCGTTTACCGCACACTTGGTGGACGGTTTTGTCAAGGTCATGGCGCACTTCGATGGCGAAGTGGATCCTGGATATGCGGCTTTTGAAGAAGCCATCATGGCTCAGCATGAGCACCTGGAAAGCATGATTGCAAGGGCACCACCAACTCTCCAAGTTTCGTTAAGGGACAAGTTTGGAATGACAATCCAGCCAAGAGCAAAACTCTCTCATGAGTTCAGCAATCCGTCCACCCATGGACAGTCTCATTCAAGCACTCCACGTACTAACCAAACTCGTGCAAATGTTCATGCAGGAATTGATGGTGAAGGGGAAATGGGCATACCTCAAGGAGGAGAGTCATCCCAATGGAGGGATGCATCCGTCCAAGGAGAGGAGATCGCCAATTCCGCACCTCAATCATCCATGCAAAGGGAAGCACGGGGGAGGAATGATGAGTATCGGAGTGCAGTGCTTGGTGGAACGAGAAGTGGACAGATTGGGCATCAGGGTGACAGAAATGGTGAAGTGGGCGTGGAAGGTGTGGGATTTGCCTCCTACACTATTGGTGCTCCCCCACTACGACGACTTGCGACTAACTCTCATCCCATTGGAGTTCTTCCCATGCCCAGGTCTCACCTTCATGGCGACAACATCATCCCTCCACATGCACATCATCCACCAATCAGCGCACACTCTGTGGACAGCATGGGGCGGATGGGATACGGAATGCAGTCAAGTGGTGTCATGCGACGGGATCAAGTGGAAGTGTTGGAACGTCAACTTGGTGGACAGAATGGAGATATGCGGCGCACGGTACAGCTACCTCGACCGTCAACCATGCCTACTCTCTTCGACCCCGCACCACGTGAATATACGGACGAAGACAAGGAACGACTGTCACGCAAAATGGTGGGAGCAACGGTGGACAAGGCATTCACCACCACTCCGTTTGACGGCTCAAATTTCCGCGAATGGGCACTACGGTTTCGTATGAACGCCCGCGTCACGAATCTGTGGGAGTTCTTTGTGACCCTGCAGTATCCGGTTACCATGGGAGATGGTGACATTGACGACGCTATGGGGCGGCTGGAAATGCTACAGGCGGATTACTCCCAGCGTGCGGCACTCGCCTTTTGGGTCCTATTGCACAGCGTGAGCGCAACGATTCAACTACAGCTAGACATGTTCCAGGAATCCTACAGCCCGGCTTATGAAGCATGGGAGTATTTGATGGACACTTACCAGGCCAAAGATTCGGTGGCGAAGGTCTCTCTCATGAAGCAGTTGGACAACCTGAAAATGGGGAATCAAGAGAGGGTGGAGGAGTATGTGAACCGCGCAACGGCGATTCGGGACAAGTTGGCGTTGGCGGGAAAGATGGTGGATGAGGACACATTCACCTTAAATCTGCTCACCGGACTACCGGCACATTGGGAGGAGATGAGGCACTCGGCAATGCTGCACAACGTGACGGACAGCTTCACTTTGCAGCGGATGATGATTCGGGAGCAGAGATATCACGATCTCATATCAAAGGATAACCGTGACCGGCGTCCACCTCGCATGGTTGGACAAGCACGTGGAGACTGCTCACCTTCTCCAACTGCAAAGGGCAATAACGAGAAGGAGGGGTCAATTGGGGAGAAAACGCATGGCAAAGATGGAGATGCAAGTCGCTCATCTCTCGTGTGTTGGTACTGCAAGGAGCCTGGCCACCCCTTCTTCAAGTGTACCAAGGCACCCCCTGGGTGGATACCACCAGGGTGGGAACCGCATACCCGCGGAAAGGCAAAACTGCACACCAGCGACAGCCGTTCGTCCTCCCCACGAAGGAGTTGCAGCCCCAAACGTGACAACAATGCATCAAAACAGCAAGGGGCAGCCGGGGAAGACAAACAACGTACTGTTACGTGCATTGCAATGATGGGATCGTCACAAGCTACCTTACCGCCAGCTAAAGCGTCATCTTGGATGCTGGATAGTGGATGCAGCCAGCACATGACTTCGGACAAGAGCTGGTTTGAAGAGTTAAGGGAGCTGGACGAACCTGTTTATGTGGAGCTTGCTAATGGGAGCGAGCTGAGCAGCAAGATGACAGGAACGATCAGAGCAACGGCACCTGATGGGACAACAGTTCGGTATACTGACGTCCTCTACGTACCTGGCTTGAAGAGTAACCTGCTCTCCTATTGTCAGCTGCTGAAAAAGGGAGCGCACATCAATACAATTGCTAATGGAGACACGGAGGTCACCATGAAAGATGGAGAGGAGTACGTGCGGATTGGATTTGCTAAGAACGTGGATGGAGTGCTCGTGGTGCAATATGCGCATGCACTTACATCCGCCCATGATCCTGGACATTCCCGTTATGACGCGTCATCGCATCAGGTTGATCGTGAAGGGGTTACCCTTTTCCGCACACTTGGTGTGCATATTGATGCACATGGGAGCACGGATTTCCGCACACCTGGGATGCAGTCGAGTGGCAAGTCTGCACATGCATCTGTCACATACCGCCTGGCGCACAAAGCCTGCATCGTGCGGAATCCGGCACATGATGTTGATACGGATGAAGTCTCACCCCACTGTGTGGTGTGGACTTCAGGGGGAGGAGGACACAGGTCCGTAGTGGATTCGGTTCCTGCATTCTCGACCATTGAAGGACATGAAGGCGAAGGAGCAGAATATGCAAAACAAGACTTACCTGGAGCTGATGTAGCTGATGAAGTCAGTGCACTTGAAGGAAGCGGAGGTACAGCTGATGGCGTACCTGTGACTGGTGTTTCCATTTCGGAAGGAGTGGAAAATGATGATGTGGGAAATGAGGTGGACAAGCCAAGCAAGCAGCATCTCACCTGCAATTTGCTGGTTGGACAAGGCAATCATCAAGTCAAGGATTCTGGTGTTGTACTCATCTGTGCGGCCACCTCGAACGGTGCGGCACAACATGGCATCACCTAACTCCACACTCACTCATGTGCTTGTAGCTGTGTACGCGGATCACTACAAGCACATGGGTGGCGGGAGGTGGGGTGTGGAGTATGTCTGGTGGCATAAGTGTGGGACATGGAGTCAAGAAGCATAAGGGGAAGACCTCCTCACCAAGGGTTGCCAAATAGGCAGGGGGAGCAGGAAGAATGAATGCAACCGGTCGTCATACGTCGTGCTTCAGTGGTATTGTGGTATTGGTTGCAGCAGATGAACGGTACCACCTGAGGGAAGAGTGGATAATATACATGGGAGCACTGCGTACCTGGTGTGCACAACTCTGCATACTTGGAGTGCGCTACATTCTTGGAGTGCACAACACTGCATACTTGGAGTGGACATTTCTGCATACGTGGAGTGCAGAGTTTGGGATACTTGGAGTGCGTCGGCATGCACAACTCTTTAGCTGATGGAGTTCGGCAACTCCGACTGCTACCGTGTGCCGGCTGGAGTGTATGGGGAGCATCACATGACAACATAGGTGAAGTTTGAGCAAACTTGGCATGATTGCCAAAGCATGGGGAGAAACTGTCGCGCGAAGTGTGCGCCCACCAATGCAGTTCCGCGCCAGCCGCACACCCTGTGTTATCTGCTACCGATTCGCGTCATCCGCAACTGCAGTGGTCGCAGACGCGCATCCACTGCGGTTTTGCGTCGTCGCACAGGAGGCGTGCGAAAAAGACAGCAGCACTGACAATCGCGTGTAGTCAAGTCTACGGTTTCGGAAATTCGGTGTGCGCTAAGGGCAATCCGCCATGACGATCTACGCATTTCGCCATGGTTACGAGGAGATTTCGTCATGGAGCTGCTACTATTTCCTCAGTAGCAGCCACTACGCGCTGTATCTAGATCTGGAAAGTCGCCAGTGGAAGGAGGGATTGGAAAACATCAAGGGAGGAGGTTTGGTTGGAGTTTGAAAGCACCAAAGGCTTGGGGGGAGAAAGGTGCTACAGTGACGAGCAGCTTGGCCACCACCAAACCCTAGCTTGGTTTGGGCGCACCCCTACCTAGTGGTGGTATACCACCTCGACCACCCCATCCTCCAAGGAAATCGGATTCACTAAAACCTACAGCAAGGGGGAGTGTTGGAAATCCGAATACAGTATAACGAATACTGTATACCAGTGTGCTGTTTGGTTTTAGTGTAGTCCTCTTTATAAGCTTCCAGGTCCTACAATTATTGTAGGGGCCAGAATTATTGGAGGTCAGCATTATTGGAGGGTAGAGGGTACAATTATTGGTACACCATTATTGGTGTGAATGGGTCATTCTGGAGGGGTAGCTGGATGCATATATACCCTGCTGTGTCACATCATTGAGTACACATTGTGTCATCATTCTACTTTTCAATGATCAATGCAAGATTTCTATCTTGTTCTTTTCTACAAACACGTTTCCGCTACGCTGGCACTATGCCTTTCTAGCATACCAAATCAACACTCACAACACTTGAGACTTCCAAAAAACCAAGGTCGCTAGCTACAAACCCGGCCTGTCCTGAATGCCAGCATGTTATTCAACAAGATCAGAGAATGTTGCTTTCACATGCAGCCACACCACCCTTATCCCAACTCTCATCCCAGCAGCAGCATGTGCTGCTGAGCATCAGCATTGACAGCAATCCAGAATCAACACAATAGAAAATTATTTTCCATTCGTTTCAATGTTAACATTTATAAACTGCATGTGGCTTGCCTACTCGTGCTTCTTCTTACCCCCCTTACCCCCTTTACTCCCCTTGCTCCTCCTGCCCCCGTCCCTCTCACCCTCCTCCAACCGAAACCCATCCCCAGGCACACCCCATTGCCACAGGTTGCTGACCACAATCACGGGCACCAGGCACACAAACGCCAGCGTCACAATGAGCGCCTGGTACAGGTACCGGAAGCGCGCAGGCGCAGGCAGCGCCACCTCCGCATAGTGCAGGGCTGCTGCGGCCACCAGCAGCGGCGGCACCACATATCGCTGTGTGCTTGCCCATGCGGCGTGGAGGAAGGTCAGGAGGCGCTGTCTGAGGTCATGGTGTTGTTGATGGGCCGATGGTGCCGATGTGGGTGGGGCAGCAGTGGAGGAGGGGGAGGAGGAGGAGGAGGGAGGGGGGGAGAGCAGGAGGAAGAGTGCGAGCAGCGCTGTGTAGGCGAGCTCGAGGCGGTCGCGGAGCAGCAGAGGGAACATGCTGAAGAGCGCCACGGTGGAGAGCCAGCGGTGCAGGCGCGGGTGGTGCAGGGCTAGCATGCATGTGGGGAGTAAAGGCAGCAGAATGGACTTTTCATGCACTGAGGGGTGGGGCGTGGGGGATATTGGGTTGGGCGTGGGGTGTAGGGGGTAAGGGACCGGGCGCAGGGAAAGAGGGGGATAGGGGTATGGGGCATGACCAGAGAGGGTCGAGGATTGGGGTGAAATGGGGAGAAGGGGCGGGCGGAGAAGTCAGGTAGGGTGGTGTTGGTCCGTAAATGGTATACAAAGAACCCTTGGACAAGAATGCTCAACAGTCCTCACAGGGGTGGTGCGAGAACAGAATTTCAGAAGCACCTGATCCACATAAAGTAGAACACAGCCCCGACTTCGCAGTCTAGATGGAAATTAAAAAGCATGCAGCCGGCAGGGTGTGCAGGCAGGCAGAGTGTGCAGGCGGGCAGTACCTTGGAAGGCGAAGAAGAAGAAGGCAAGGGAGGAGTTGAGCATGGCCAGTACCAAACCGTGTGCTGATGGCCGCAGCACCTGGTGACATGGACACACAGGGAGCGAGGGGGTGGAATAAGGTAGATAGGCCACTGTGAGCAACCAATAGTTTTTAAGAGGCATCCTTAGTTATTAAGAGGCACCCATAGTTATCAAGAAGCACCCATAGTTATTAAGAAGCACCCATAGTTATTAAGAAGCACCCATAGTTATTAAGAAGCACCCATAGCTATAAAGAGGCACCCATAGCAATCAATAGTTTTTCTGGCCGGAGACTGGAACAGCAGCAGGTAGAGCGGAGTATGTGCAATATGCAATGTGAAATGTGCAATGTGCAATGTGAAATGTGCTATGTGCAATGTGAAATGTGCTATGCGAAATGTGCTATGCGAAATGTGCAATGTGAAATGTGCTATGTGAAATGTGCAATGTGAAATGTGCAATGTGAAATGTGCAATGTGCAATGTGAAATGTGCAATGTGCAATGTGAAATGTGCTATGCGAAATGTGCAATGTGAAATGTGCTATGTGAAATGTGCAATGTGAAATGTGCAATGTGAAATGTGAAATGTGCAATGTGAAATGTGCAATGTGCAATGTGAAATGTGCAATGTGCAATGTGAAATGTGCTATGCGAAATGTGCAATGTGAAATGTGCTATGTGAAATGTGCAATGTGAAATGTGCAATGTGAAATGTGCAATGTGCAATGTGAAATGTGCAATGTGCAATGTGAAATGTGCAATGTGCAATGTGAAATGTGCAATGTGAAATGTGCAATGTGCAATGTGAAATGTGCAATGTGCAATGTGAAATGTGCTATGCGAAATGTGCAATGTGAAATGTGCTATGTGAAATGTGCAATGTGAAATGTGCAATGTGAAATGTGCAATGTGCAATGTGAAATGTGCAATGTGCAATGTGAAATGTGCAATGTGCAATGTGCAATGTGAAATGTGCAATGTGCAATGTGAAATGTGCAATGTGCAATGTGCAATGTGAAATGTGCAATGTGAAATGTGCAATGTGCAATGTGAAATGTGCAATGTGCAATGTGAAATGTGCTATGCGAAATGTGCAATGTGAAATGTGCTATGTGAAATGTGCAATGTGAAATGTGCAATGTGAAATGTGCAATGTGCAATGTGAAATGTGCAATGTGCAATGTGAAATGTGCAATGTGCAATGTGAAATGTGCAATGTGAAATGTGCAATGTGCAATGTGAAATGTGCAATGTGCAATGTGAAATGTGCTATGCGAAATGTGCAATGTGAAATGTGCTATGTGAAATGTGCAATGTGAAATGTGCAATGTGAAATGTGCAATGTGCAATGTGAAATGTGCAATGTGCAATGTGAAATGTGCAATGTGCAATGTGCAATGTGAAATGTGCAATGTGCAATGTGAAATGTGCAATGTGCAATGTGCAATGTGAAATGTGCAATGTGAAATGTGCAATGTGCAATGTGAAATGTGCAATGTGCAATGTGAAATGTGCTATGCGAAATGTGCAATGTGAAATGTGCAATGTGAAATGTGCAATGTGCAATGTGCAATGTGAAATGTGCAATGCGCCCCGGCTGGGCTGCACGGGGACTGCATACACTTGCCGCACACGCTCACTCCATTCACTTCCCATGACACGAGAAGAGAGACAGCAGTGCGCGCAAACAGGGCGAAGGGAGAAGAGAGAGCGGTTGAGGGAGGGAAGGGGGAGGAGAGCAGGGGAGCAACACGCATGTGTCACGGCAGGGAGGAAGGGGCGGGTGGGAGAGTGGCAGGAGAGCAGGCACCTGGTGCAGCATAGAGGGCAGGGCGGCAGTGATGGTGGCAGCGAGCGCCATGCAAGCGTTTTTTTAGGCGCCTCAAAAAGGAGGAGAAAGAGAGAGAGGGGGGGCACCTGGTGCAGCATGGAGGGCAGGGCGGCAGTGACGGTGGCAGCGAGCGCCATGCGAGCGAGCAGAGGCGTGGAGAAGAGGCGCTTCCACTTGATGAGCGGCGATGTGGCGCACCAGAAGTTGGCCACGTGGTCCTCGTACAGGCCTCGACCCAGGGGGAAGAGACGTTTTAGCACCTGGAAAGAGGTGCGGGGGCGGGGGAGGGAGAAGATGAGGCCGCTTCCAACTGATGCTGCTTGCCCCGGCTGTGGGGATGGAAGTGGCGCACCAGAAGTTGGCCACGTGGTCCTCGTACAGGCCTCGACCCAGGGGGAAGAGCCGTGTTAGCACCTGGCAGGAGGAGTGGGGAGAAGTGGGAGGAGGATCATTGCCAGACATCTCAACAATTGTGGTACAGGCCTCGACCCAGAGGGGGACGAGGCACGATAGCATCTGGCAGGGAAAGGGGGAAGATGTGGGGGGTTGACACGAGGGGGTAATACGAGGGAGTGACACAAGTGGGGGCAAGCGGCATTGAATTTCATTCCCGGTGGTATGTAGCTGGGAGGTGTTTTGGCAGTGATGCAGCCCAGCTGCCCTGGGAAAGGTTGCGTCCAACTGCTGCTGCTCCCCCTGGTCACGTGGGTTGAAGAGGCACACCAGAAGCTAGCTAGCCAGCTGGTCTTCGTACAGGCCAAGACCCAGGGGGACGTTTGAGTCGACTCAAAAGCCACCTGGTCCTCGTACATGCCAAGACCCCAAGACCCAGGGGGAAGAGGCACGAGATTTGACAACCATCATCCTTGTACGGGCTGCGACCCAGGAGGAAGAAACGTGTTATCAACTGGATGAAGGGGTGGCCGGCATTGAGACGTCTTACGAGTGTGCTGCTTGTGCATGCCATGGCCCAGAGGGAAGTGGGAGGGGGAGGGGGAGTGAGAGGAGAGAGCAGAGAGGTGGGAGGCGAGAAAGGTGAGAAGTGCGGGGGACAAAGAGGCGGACGGGGAGAAGGCAAGGCGGGGAGGGGAGACGCGGGATAGGCTGAGAGAGGGGACAGATTCGGTGCTTCCGCTGCTTGGCATGTAGCGCTCTAAAGAGGTTGTTCCGTGCTGGTGTGGTGCTCGAGCCAGACTTTCAGACATGTGGGTGAGTGGAGGCCTTAACGTGGTGGAGGCCTTAACGTGGTGGAGGCCTTAACGTGGTGGAGGCCTTAACGTGGTGGAGGCCTTAACGTGGTGGAGGCCTTAACGTGGTGCAGAGCAGAACACACAGACATGCGGGCACACTGTGCAGTGGACGACGCACAGCCACATGGCTACACAGTCCTCGTACAGCTCAGCCCGCCCTACCAAGGGGAAAGAGGCGCTGGCAGCGGGGATGGGCTGGGTAGGAAGACGAGAAATGTGGATTGTGGAAAGGGCGGATTTTGATGCTGAGGGTGCTGGAATATTCAATGAACGGAGAGAGAGAGAAACAAGTGCACCAGGAGGATGGAGTCAGAGGAATGGAGTGGACTGGAGTGGAGAGGAGTGGAGGAAGGGCCGCCAGCAAGCAGAGCACAAAGGAGAGTTTTGAATCCACTGGAAAGTGGAGCCCACACCACACCACACCACACCACACCACACCTGGAGCATTGAGTCTCACTCATGACTAGAGGCAGGAACGCGCACCTGCAGGGTGGAGTCGGTGGAGAGCAGAAAGGGCCACCAGCATATCAAGACGGATTGTTTTGGGTCAAATGGAAAACGGGGGGCACCTGGAGAGCAGCACGCACCTGGAGAGCAGCACGCACCTGGAGGGTGGCGTCGGTGGAGTGCAGGAAGGGCCACCAGCAGGCTGCGAAGGAGAGCAGCACGGTGGCAGCGAGCGAGAGGAACATGAGTGCGGGGCGGGGCGACTGGCGACAGCGACCCAGCAGATGTGCGAAGAAGGCCGGCGCGAAGTAGAGCGCCATCTGTGCACACATGAATGGGCGGGGTGGGGTGGAGTGTGGTACGGTGGGGTGGGGTGGTAAGGCATTGGATGCGATGGTCGGGTGCAGGAGAGGAATTGGCAAGCAGTGTGTGGGAGTATGAAGAGCAGGTTGTGCAATGCAGTGGCATTGACCAGTGCAGTGATCTGAACCGAACGAGAGAGTCACGTCGGCGAGCCCATCATGTCAGGGTACTACTCTCATCTCATCTCACTCCCCGTCACTCACTCAGTCCCCCTTGTAACGAGTCTGTTTTTAGTCGATTTGACTCAAAAACAGACTCATCACACGTGAGCCCGTCATGTCAGGGTGCTCTCGTCTCACTTCCCGTCACTCAGTCCCCCTTGCCGTATCACACCCTTCCCCCCCCTCCTCTCCTCACTTGTATCGCCCCAACTCGCTCACGTCCCCTCCGCCCTCCTCCCCTTCCCCCACCTCACCGCGGCTCCAACTAAGCTAATTCCATGCCTTCTTGTCCATGTGGGTGTGGATCAAAAGGTATTTTTTATGCGAAAAGTTAGCTCGATGCCGCAGCGAATGCACGCGTATCACCTATCCCCTGCTCACGTGCTTGAGGTTGGCGGCGAGGGGGTGAAGAGGCATAATGTGAGCCCGTATGGGGGATAGGTAGGGATGCATTACACAAGTGAGGGGGGGACGAGTGGCGCTCACGTGCTTGTGGTTGATGGCGAGGGAGTAGAGTGCACTGCCCAGCAGGTAGCGCCGAGACATGACGGCCGATGCTGCTGCTTTTGAGTCGACTCAAAAGGTGACTTTTAAGACGACTAGGTAACTTTTTGAGTCGACTCAGAAGAGCGGTGCTCACGTGCTTGTGGTTGATGGCGAGGGAGAAGAGTGCACTGCCCAGCAGGTAGCGCCGAGACATGACGGCCGTTGCTGCCCCTAGCGACAGCCCCAGGCTGATGCTGTTGTACTGTGGCGTTGGGGGGGGCGGGGCAGGGAGGGGGGAGGGAGGGAGACAAGGGAGAACAAGGGAGAACAAGGGAGAACAAGGGAGAACAAGTGTCGCGTTATTAACACTTAGCTGGCAACTAAGTGTGAATTCCACAGCAGCCAAGGTGAGGTGTACTATAGTTTACTGCTTTTTGCATTTTACTTTGTTTGCTCTTTTTGGAATGTTACTGTACTATACAGAGTCGAGCTACTGAGGAGTTCGAGGGGGTTGGTGAGGAGGATGAGGGCGAATTCGATTCCAGCCAGCCTGGGAATTCAATTCGACATTCACAGGCTGGAAGGCGGTGCATGCCTAGTGGGCCCAGTGGGACCCAGCTAGCACCTTGAAGCCTACGCGATCAGCTCGGCTGACTCGCGCTTAGGAGTAGAGGTAGCTTGCGGGACAAGGCACCTAGGCAGGAGAGGATGTAGACGGAAGTAGCGCTCAGACTCATTGCTTTTTGCTTGTATGTTTCTCATTTACTGCAATTGTGCTTTCCTAATCCACGGGGAGCTAGCAGTAGAGAGGAGCAGAAGCAAATCGGCGGAGCCCTTGCGAGGGAGTTAAGCCTTGTTTCATACAAGCAAAAAGAGTGGTCAGGATTACGATTGTTGAGAGTAGAGGTGGCAAGATCTACTGCCTGGAGTTGCTCGCGGTGATGCACCGTGAGGAATGAGTAATTTTGACCGCGAGCTTCACACTCATCAACTGCGCTCTGGACACCGATTCCCGGCGAGGATGATGGAGGGACGTGATCCGCCGGTCAGGATGCCTGGATTTCGGGCAGGCGAAGGAGGGACGAACCCACGCGGTAACCAAGGCGGGGATCGGGAGGAAGAACGAGGTGTACACGGAGAACAACAGCCGAGCTCGGCATGCGACTCGCCCGCGGAGGGGAGTGGAGAGCGACCTGCTGGGAGTGGATCTCGCCGAGGAAATCCAGATCTGGGAGGAGACGATCCACATGAAGATCGACGGAGTCAGAAGGGAGGGGAAGATCATCGAGAAGAACGGCGGATTCTGAGAGGAGAAGAAGATCAACGAGAAGAAAGGCGTAGTCTGAGGGGAGGAGACGATCAATCGGAGGAACGACGAAGTCAGCGAGGCGGGGAAGCATATCACGGATTCTCTGCCGGAGGATACGAAGCCACGGAGGCCGGGAGAGCAGGGCGACCTGCAGGGAGTGGAGAACGAGGGAACACAAGCTGGGGGACAGGCAGGTCGATGAGTATTGCACCACCCAAAATTGAGGTACCAGACCGCTTCTCGGGGGCACCTGGAGAGGAGCCCACGCTGAAAAACTACCTGATGATGATTGAAGACATTCGCTACTGCTGGGACAGGGAGCGACTGGATCCTATCGAATTTTTCAGAGGCTTGGGGAGGACTCTCAAAGGAGAGGCGTTGACTCATTACCGCGTGGAGAGGCAGGGGCTGCTGATGCGGAGCAACAGAGGAGATATCTTACCGGCAGAGATTACTGACCGTTTCTTGGATAGCCTGCAGGAGCAGTTCCCGGGGCATTCGGCTAACCGGATGGCGGAGTTTCAAGACTTCATAAGAGCGCCGGCAGAGTCGCTGTTGGCCTACTATAACCGTTTACTGGAGCTGGCAGAGGATATGGGCTGCGTGGAGGAACGCATCCTAGTGACCAAGTTCGTCAACGGGCTGGATGGGGACTTGATACGAGACATGAGAAGCCGACTATACTCCTTGGGGGTACGCGCGAAGCTGCGACAGGTGTACCAGGTGGCGAAAGAAGTGGAGGATGGAAAGAGGTTCTTCGAAGGAATGAAGGGGTCAAGCTCCAATCGGCCGAGCGAACGTCGGAGGCCTGCTTGGGCAGCAGTGGAAGGGAGACAGAGGGAAGAGGAACGAAGAGAGAGGCCGTCTGAAGATAGACGCAGGTGTTACAAGTGCGGCGAAAAGGGGCACGTGCGGAAGGATTGCGCCATAGACATAGTGTGCGACACATGCAAGATGAAAGGACATTTCAGACGTGACTGCCCCAAGGCACCTATCTGCACCGGATGTGGGAAAAGGGGGCATACTGAAGACAGGTGCTACAGCAAGGGAGAGAGAATGCGAGGAAAATCGGCAAAGGAGTTACAGTTAGAGAGAGAGTTGGCGAAGTTGAAGGGACAGCTGGAGAAGACTGGGATTAGTGAGGACCCTGAGAAGGCATTGCTGGCTTGGGAGGACGATGAAGAAGAGGAGTATGAGAGAGAGGAGGCGGAGTACGGGGCCATGGCTATACCACCTAGAGACCGAGAGGAGTTGGGGTTGCGCAGCGGTGGGAAGGATGGCAGGACAGAGCAGAAGCAGCCTGAAAGGAGAACCCCTCGGCAACGAGAAGAAAGTAATAAGCCGAGGACGGCTCGACGGCATCCTGAGGAGAGACTCGTCTGCCAACCTACGGCTCTGGTGGTAGAACCTAAGGCAGTGGCTGTCAGGGGCATACCAGTGGAGAACGCCGTAGTGGATACAGGCGCACAGAGTGTCCTGCTGGGAAGGAAGCTGACAGAACAGTTACGGGAGAATGGGGACTTGGTATTAGTAAACAGAGGCATACTGATCATGACAGCCGAGGGAGGGGCACCAAAGTGGATGCCCTGTACTAAGGACCCCATCGAGATTACTCTGCAGCCGGGAGAGAAGGGAGAAACGACGATAAGAGTGCAATGTGGGTTGACGGAATCGGAGGATTATGATGTTCTGCTGGGGATGGAGCTGCTGTTCAAGATAGGTACAACAATATGTACCTGGCAGGAACAGGTGCTCTACCGCTCGGATTTCTGGATCGAGGGAAAGGAGTTGAGTGAGCTGCCGGTGCGGTTTGTCAAGACAGAACCGAAGAAGGCTTGGAGGGCGGAAGGCGTGAGAAGAGAGAGCGTAAGGAGGGGGAGTACCAAAGAGGGCAAGGTCGGAGCTAACCTGGACCAGTATAGCGTTACCTTAGTGGAGCTGTTTGGAGGGTTGGGGGCAGGCTTAGCGGCGGCATTGGAAGCAGGACTGAAGGTGATAAGATGGGTGTATGTGGAAATGGACCCAGAGGTGAGGAGGATGGCTTGGAAGCATGCACAGATACTGCAGCAGCGGTACCCAGCTCAACTGGCGAAGGAAGTGATACGGGAGGCCATGCAGAACGAGAAGTGGGATGTGGGACAGCTTACCAGGGAAGATGTGAACCGCTGGGGAAAGGTGGAACTGTTGGTAGCAGGGTGGGAGTGCCAGGGTACTTCCCGAGCGGGGAAGGGAAGAGGAATGCAGGATGACCGCACGGCGATGGTGACAACACTACTGACGATTATGAGGTGGGCGAGAGAATCTGGCGGGGAATATGCTTACATCCTAGAACATGTGGATATGAGGAGTGATATCAGGGAGCCGGTCCGAGCCGTACGCGAGGTAGTGGAAGCAGAATTGGGAAGGGGAGTGAGTTGTGATGGGGCACAGCTGGGGGCAAGGTGTCAAAGAGTGCGGCAGTACTGGCAGAACGTCCTGCCAGAAGGAGAACTGAGGGCGAGATTAGCAAGGGTGGAGAGAGATGAGAGCCGAATTGTGGAAGACATCCTGGAACCAGGGAGAGTGGCCGCCCCAGTGGTAAAGCCAGATCATCCGCGACAGTATCAGTGTAACCGAGTGGGGGAAGCAAGGAGGGCCTGGCCGACACTGGTGGCTTACGCAAAGGCACGGGGATTTGTCGAAGTGGAAGGGACTCCAGGTCCAGGGATGGTGTACAATCACCGTAAGAAAAGATGGGAGGAGCCGACGGCTTTGGAGCGGGAATTAGCCATGGGGTACCTGCCGGGGGCAACAGCAGCAGACGGAGTGGGGGAGGAGGTGCGCAAAGCTGCCTTGGGCAGAGCCATAGACCAGCACTCGCTGCGATGGCTAGTTAGTGAGATGAGAAAGGGGCCAGCCGAGAAAAGGGGAAAGACGGAAGAGGAGAAGGGCAGGGGCGGCAAGCAGGCTGCTTACACCGCTGTCAGCAAGCTCACAGACGAGAAGGAGATCGATACTGCACCACCAGTAGGCAAGGAAGCAGAGCCGGGCAAAACCTGGGAGCTGGGGGCAGGTATAGGGGAGCAAGCAGCTGAAGCAATCAGGGAGGTGTTGCAGCAGCATAGGGGCACCTTCGCCTATAACCTGCAGGAATTGGGGAGATACAAGGGGAGAGAGCTGGAGCTGAACCTCACGACCGAGCTACCTACATACCAACGCAGGAGGCGAATGAATGCGGAGGATGCAGCCATCTGCAAAGCGAAATGTGAGGAGTTGCTAGCTGCAGGGATTATTCGCCCGTCAGAATCAAGTTACGCGGCGGCCACGGTGGTAGCTGCTAGGAAGGACATCACGGGAAAGATTCTAGCGAAGCGGATGTGCGGGGATTTCCGGGAGCTGAACAAGATTACAAGCCCTGACAGATACCCTATGCCGACTGCTGTAGACATTTTCGACCGGCTGGAAGGGGCCACCGTTTTCACCACCTTGGACCTGCGGCAGGGCTTCAATCAGATGGGCATTAGAGAAACAGATAAACGGAAAACTGCATTTCACGGGGTGGACGGGTTGTATGAGTACAACGTTATGCCTTTCGGGCTTCGTAACGCACCAGCAGTGTTCCAGAGAGCCATGGATCAAGTGCTGAAGGGGATTCCAGCTGCCGCCTGCTACATTGATGACGTGTTGATTTACAGCAGCAGCGAAGAACAGCATGTGCAAGATCTGAAGCAGACTCTAGAGGCGATAGCAGCTGCAGGGCTGACGTGTCACCCAGATAAGTGTAAGATGGCGAGGCACACGGTGGCCTACCTGGGGTTTGAAGTGAAGGGCGGTCGGCTGGCCATACAAGAGGCGAAGGTTAAGGTGCTGGAGAACCTGGCAGCGCCAAAGGACAAGACAGGGCTGCGGGCGTTACTCGGCTTCCTGAATTATTACAGGAAGTTTGTATCAAACTTCAGTCGCCGCGCCTACGTACTGAACCAGCTGCTGAGGGAAGGGAAGAGCTGGCAATGGGGAGAAGTGGAGGAGGCAGCAAGGCAGGACTTGCTTGAAGCAGTTAGGACAGGGACCTTACTGCAGATATCGAGGGCAGAAGCGCCTTTCATCCTGTACACGGACTGGAGCAGTACGGGAATGGGAGCGGTGCTCTGCCAAGAAATCGAGGGAGAGGAAAGAGTGATAGCCTTTGCTAGCCGCAGCTGCAGCCCATCCGAGGCTAACTACTGCTCATACGAGGGAGAGGGTCTGACGGCAGTGTGGGGAATCACGCATTTCAAGGTATACCTACAGGGCCGGCACTTCACATTAGTGACTGATCATCAGCCACTGCTATGGTTGATGACTAATCAAGAGCTGACGGGAAGAAACGCTCGATGGGCTATCAAGTTGCTGGGATTCGACTTTGAGATCCGGCACCGACCGGGTAAAACACTGCAGCATGCAGATGGGCTGTCAAGGAACCCACCACCGATGCAGCCGGTAGCGCAGCTGGCGGCCTTAGCCCACGCCGTGGCCGTGACCTGGGGGCAGGAGAAGGGAGAGAAGCGGTTAGCAGATATATGGGAGGACGAGGAGACCATGAGCTGGATCAAAGGGGAGCCACTGGAGGAGGAAGGCGTTAGTGAGAGAGCAAGAGCCAGAGGGCAGCATTACAGATGGTTTCAGGAGCAGCTGCAGCTGAGGACCAGCGAAGGATGGAGGGTAGTACCGCAGCTGCAAGAGAGGAACAGGGTCATGGGGAAGGTGCATGCGAAGCTAGGACATTACGGCATCACCAGGACACGGCAGCTGTTGAGCACCATGTACTGGTGGGCAAGCATGGGGAAGGATGTGGCAGGACTGGTAGCCAGCTGCGAGGCTTGTCAAAGGTATAAAGCAAGGCTGGAAAAGGAGAGGGAGGAGCTGAACTCACTACCGATTCGGGGGTTAGGTTACAGGTGGTCGCTGGACCTGGCAGGAGAGTTACCATTATCAAAAGGAGGGAAGCAGTACATTCTGATCATGGTTGAGCACACGAGCAAATGGGTGGAGGCGCGGGCATTACCAAGCAAGAGTAGCGCACTGATAGCGGACGCATTCGAGGAGATAGTACTGACCAGGTACGGGGCATGTGGAGAGGTGCTTACTGATCAAGGGACAGAGTTTCAAGGGAGCTTTGATGAGCTGCTAGAAGAAATGGGCATCACGCATCGTGTCACCTCAAGGTATCACCCTCAATCGGACGGGCTGACAGAGAGGCTCATACAAACCGTGAAGAAAGGACTTCGGGCCTATGGAGAGACACACAAGAGGAGTTGGGACAGGGATCTCTGGTGGGTGCTTGCAGGATACCGGTTTGCGAAGCAGGCAGCGCTGAAGCATCTGTCCCTGTATCATCTACTGTACGGACGGGACCCGGTGCTACCTGTGGATGCACCGAAGCTGCTCTCGGCGACAATTGAAGCGGACGAGCCGAGCCTGTGGGCGGGATTAGCGGAGAAGAGGGCGAGGTATCTGAAAGAGCTGACTCCACCTGCCTTGGATAATCTACACGTGGCGCAGCTGAGGGATGCAAGGCGGTACCAGCAGCGCAAAGCAGGAGGGATGGGAGGAAAGAGTGACAAAGTGGAAGCGGGGCAGGAGGTGTACCTGCGCAGGGCTAAGCGAGATACGCTGGACTTAGCTGTGGGACCGGAGCGATGGAGGGTGAAAGAGGTAAGGGAGTCGGGGGTGCTAGTGCTGGAGGATAATCGAGGGAAGTACCTGAAGGAGCATATCACCAACGTGGCCAGGGCGGGAAGGGAGAAGCCTCAGGCATTGGATCCCGTATCTGGAGCAGCTCGGGTGCGTGCTCAGTCACGGGAGGGGGCAGGGAAGCCTGAGATACGAGGAGGGGATCAGAACAGAGTGATTACATACGTCAGGAGGAAGAAGGGATGAGCCGGTCACCTGGATGAGAGGCGGAGGGAGAGGGAGGAGGAAGTCAGGCAGGGATTCAAGGGAGAGTGAGAAGGAAGGGACAGCAGAGGGGGATTCACGACACAAGGGAGAGGGAGGTGAGAGAAGGTTGGGTTGGGCGGTGGAGCATTTCCTGCTGGTAACGACAGCCCCATTCCGATGATGTTGTACTGTGGCGTTGGAGGAGGGTGAGAGGGGGCCGAGAGGGGAAGGTGAGGGACAAGTGAGGGGCAGAGGGACAGGTGAGGGGTAGGTGACAACGAGGTGTGTGGGGGGGGGAAGGGGGGAGGGAGTGAGGGTTTGAGGGAATGAGAATGGGCAAGGATGGGTGAGGGAAGAGAGGGAGGGGGGCGAACGTTGCGGGATATGTGTAAGCGGGTACAGACAGGTACGTGCGTGGGCACGTGGAGTGCAGGACTCGCACGTGGAGTGCAGGACTCGCACGTGGTGTGCAGGACTCGCACGTGGAGTGCAGGACTCGCACGTGGAGTGCAGGACTCGCATGTGCGTGGACTCCAGGGCGTAGTGGGGTAGGAGAGTGAGAGATCACTTGGGCACCTGGAATTGCCCGTACCACTTTCAAACTGCCTCCAAAAAAATAGTACAACAAGCATACCTGAAGGCAATATTGCTGAGACGCCTCGAACAGAACCTTCTGAGACGCCTCAAGAGAGCTACGAGAAAGCACACCTGGAAGTGGCTGTGGTCGATGGGGATGAGTCCCGGCAGCAGCAGCAGCAGCAGCAGCAGCAGCGGCGGCGGCGGCGGCGGCGGCGGCAGCAGCAGCAGCATGGCGAGCTTGTGACACTGTTGAGAATTCCAGGAAGTGACGAGCAGGCCTGGAGTGCTACGAGCATACCTAGAGGAGAGAGCGCAGCATACCTGGAAGTGGCCGTGGTCAATGAGTATGAGTCCCGGCTGCAGCAGCAGCATGGCGAGCAACCACAGATGGTGGGATGCAGGGCGAGAGGCGGATGGGGAGAGGCGGCGCAGGAAGGGCGAGCAGGCGAAGGCGAGGGCAGCGGGGAAGAAGACAAGCAGGTCCGTGGAGAGCACCGTCCATCGCAGCAGCATTTTGCTGTTGGGGGCGGTGGCCGTGGAGAAGGGACGGGAGAAGGGGAACGGGGAACGGGGGAGGTGGGGAGGGAGATGGCTTGTGATTTTTGAGAATTCTAAGAAAACATGGACTCAAGTGTGAAGCCAAGCAGGTCCGTGGAGAGGTTTGAGACGTCTCAAAACACTTCTTCATACACGTGGGAACGGGGAACGGGGGAGGTGGGGAGGGAGATGGCTTGTGAGTGGACTCAAGTGTGAAGCCGAGCAGGTCCTTGGAGAGCATCGTCAAGCGCAGCAACGCCTTGCTGTGGAGGGGGTGGTTGGGGTGGGGGGGGCGTGGTAGGTGGAGACTGGAGTGGAGTGGAAGGAGAGATAGAGGTGGCTTGTAGCTCTTGAGTCAACTGAATTCTTAAGGCGAGCAGGTCTGTGAAGAGCACTGTCCAGCGCAGCAACGCCTTGCTGTTGGGGGAGGTGTGGGGTGAGCGTGGTGGGTGGGTATGGAGGGGAGGAGCGAAGGTGGAGAGGGGAGAGAGAGGGTAGCAGAGAGGAAGGAGGAGAGAGAGGAGTGCGAGGGAGGAGGGTAGGGGGCGGAGAGGGGGAAGGGAGCAAAGAGGGCAAGGGAGGTGGGGAGCGGCAGGCTGGAAATGATGTGTTGGGAGGGAGGGCGCAGTCGGAAATGCCTGGCATCCGTGAGTGATTGAGTGAGTGAATGCTGCAGTGGCAGTGCTGGTGTTGAGTGCGTGTGTGTGTGGTGTAAGGAGGGGTTGACATGACACTCTGAAAGGGAGCAGCACTTGCGTGTGCACAGAGCTAAACTGCCCTTACTCGACCAGAATTCTTCATTCTCCTCTTCCACCCTCCCCTTACTCTCTTCCTCCATTCTTCCCTCCCCTTCTCCCTCAATTCTCCCCTCTCTTTCCCCCTCCAACCACCCTCCCTTCCCCCTCCATTCGTCGCATCCCATCCCCTTCCACCTACATTCTCTCCACCCCTCACCCCGCCTCACCATCCTCCCCTCTCCCCTTCCCACACCCACACCCACCTGTAATTCGACTCATATCCCCTCGACGACCCCAGGGCAACAGCATCAGGGCACAGGCGGTGCATCACCCATCCGTGCATGCGGCTCTGCCACGCGGTGAGCGGGGGGTAGTCCAGCCCCCACCAGGCGAGGTCGTTGCTGGTGGAGTTGCGGTACCAGAGGGCGGGCGGCAGGTGCACCGTGATCTCCATCCAGTGCCGCTGCGCCTCGTAGTCGCCGTACTTTGGCGGCGTGTGCATGCCTGGAAAAGGGGAGAGGGGGGGGGAGGGGATGGGGAGGGGGGTGGAAGGGGGAGCAGGAACGGAGGAGTGGGGGGAGCGGGAAGGAGGAAGGGGTGGAGGAAAAGCGGGAGGTGGAAAGGGGAGGAGGAAGAGGGAACGGTGTGAGGAGTTGGGCGGACCGGACATGTTGCGGTACCAGAGAGCGGGCGGCAGGTGCAGCGTGATCTCCATCCAGTGCCGCTGCGCCTCGTAGTCGCCGTACTTTGGCGGGGTGTGCATGCCTGGAAAGGGGAAGGGGGGAAGAGTGGGGGGAAAGAAGGGAAGGAGGAACGGGGAGGAGAAAGGGGAGGAGGAAGAGGATGAGGGAAGGGGGATGAAAAATGGGGAGGAGAAAGCGGATGGGGGAAAGGGGAGGAGAAACGGGATAACGATGTGAGGTTCAAGGGATGGAGCGAGGGGGAAAGGGGGGCGGGCGGGATGAAAGGGGACGAGGAGGAAGAGGGAGAGCAGCGCTGGGTTGAGTGAGGGTCAGGCGGGAGATGGGGGAGGTCGCGGGGCGAGCGACAGGTGGAAGGTCGGGTGGGGTTGGGGGCGGGGACTGGAGAGGGGACGAGGGAGGAGAAGGGGCAGACTGGCAAAGCAAAGTAGGTGTTAGAAAGAGGGGAGAGGTGTGCGGACCAGCGCTCTACAGGAACGCGGGACGGAGGTGCTGCAGGAACATCTCGCCCCAGCAAAGCACGGAGGTGCCGTACGCAGGCATGCAAGCAAACCGTCGTGATCCATTATTCGATCCAGTCGCATCTACGCCGCGAGGGAGGTGGCGGCAAAATGCCCCGCGCACATTGTCTCGCTCGCTCTAGCATCACACATGCTCTGCCCTGGCCTACCAGAGTATGGGTGCAGTCCGGTGCAGAGGCGCACCAGCACGGCGAATCCCATCACCAGCGCGCACGCGCCCCACCACATCCGCGCCGCTCGTTGGCTCCCGCCGCCCCCCGCCGCCTCGCGAGACCGCGGAGCTACCGCCGCTGCGCTGACCGCCTTCGATCCCGATCCCGAATCTAATTCTGATCTGATTTCTGACCCTGTCTCCTCGCCTTCGTCGGGCAGAAGGAATTCGCAAAATTCGGCAAAGCGGCCCATCGCTCGGGGCGGGCTCGATCGGCGACAACGCGCAGCGAGCAATAGATGGGGCGGGGAGGGGATCCGCGACAGGGACGGCAGGGAATGCGGCGCGCACTGTATGACGGTAATATTCTAAACAATCCTGATTCGTCACATGCTTCCCAACCTCGTCCCAGCCTGATCTGATGCCCGAAAACTGAAGCTGTCACAGTAGGCCGTTGCGATCTGCGAAATTGCAGCGGCGGGCGTTTTACCGCGATGCCTCTAGGCGCTGATCTACAGGCATGCGGTACCGGGGGTCGGGGCCGTGTCAAGATTTTGTCCCAACTTTGCTCACCAAGGCCTTGTTCGGTAGGTACCCAATCCGAGGCGGTTTCTGTTGGCGCTCAACAAAGCGCTGTCCGGGAAACCCTCACTCAGACTGGGATCAGTCGCAGTGGAGAAACCGCTGCAAAGTGTAGCAGCTGATTGCTGGGCGCTGTTCGGCAGGCACTCCACTTGACTGGACCCAGTCGGAAGGAAGAAACTGCTCATTAGTTTCAGAACCGAGGTTTGATCGAGGCTCGGGCAAACAGATCTGACATGAATCTGTCAGGGCAGCTTCCCTCGGGCGAATCTGTACAAGCTTCAAGTCCTCAAAATCGATATAGGAACACCAAATGTATCCAGTTTTTTGGGTTGCGAAGCAACCTATTACGATCGATTTGGTCAGTTTTTTTTTCACATTTTTACATTTTATATTTTTTTTTTAATGTAAAAATGTGAAAAAAAATGGATGTACTTTTCGCTATCCATGCAACATCTACGAGGTCCTGTCTGGTTCAGAGCCCACTAGTGTAGAGGTAGTGACTTTTTGGACAACTAGGTTGTTTCTGTGATTTACTTTGTTGTGACTTACTGCCGTATAATATGTACATAATATGAAAAAATAAATGTAATGATTTGTGATCGTAGATGAATGTAATGATGTTATGTTAAATGCAACATGTTATGAAAGATATGATATGATAGATGATAAATACATGCATGCTTTATGTTTATTATGAATAATGCTTACCTGTTAGTGAAAATTTCATAACCATGATGCTAATAATGATAAAAATGCGTGAAAGCTAACGACCCAAAAACTATGCTATCGCATCCCCTGCCTAGCATGGGGGGGAGCTAATAGCATAATCCTTGAATAATCAGCAGTCACATGAAACAACACAATCTGTAAACTCTAAAAAGATTATCAACTCTATCATCTCCAGTTCAAGTGGGCTCCCGACAGGCGCGCCAATGAACCTTCTAATGAAATGATAGACCTGATTAACCTTTTTAAAACTCATAGACATGCATTGTTAATGCAATGTTTATGCATGCACAGTCACACAAGCAACATCATCATACAAACACGATGATGATCAATCTCAAAAGAAAGTGCAGTCGAAAGGAAAAAAAATCACAAGAACCGAAACAAGGGCAAAATCAATTTGTCTAGTCTATCTTTGACCCATACTGCAATAATAACATGTCTATCAATCATGGATCAAGATAATACATCTCTTGATTACGGACGAGCTTCACCGGTCTTGGGCTTCACAGATGCTGCAACGGATTGAAGGTTCAAACATAAAATGATAACCATTAAATCATATAATAAAAACATATGAAAATATACATATAAAACAAATAATGAAACTCTTAAAATATAATTATTCGACGTACGTCAAACCTCCTTTTTGTAGGTGTTGAAGATGGTTGGGTGCTCGCCGTGTCAAAGTTGACAGGAGTGTCACTTGACTGCGTGACGCCCGTTACATCAAGAATGGTCTTGATGACGCGGTCTCCCTCAATACCAAAATGAATCTGTCAAGACAAAAAAACGATGTGAAAGTGGGAAGAGAGAAGAAGTGAAGAAAGTTATTGGGACAAATAGATAAAGAAAGAAGGATTTTGGTTGCAAAGGAGGGATGCAGGGAACAAAATGAGGGAAGGAGGGAATCGAATTGGACGAATGAAGAAAAACAAAGATGAAATGAGAACTAACATGAATAACAACAAATAATAGAATCATCAAGACGATTTACAGTTAGGTAAAAACTCTACATACTACCTTTACGAGCCAACGACCAATAAGAGCGTCCAACATGCGTTGGCACTCATCCAAGGGCAAGGTGAGAAAAGTGGACATTTGAAGGTGTGGGATCACTTTGGTCAGGACGCTGGGTCGAATCACCAAGCAATGTGCTTGGGACTTGTATGACGCTGAACAAACAGAAAAGGCATAAAGGAAAGTAGTCAATGACAAAACAAAACGTACAAAATCTAAACACGAGATCATAGCATACAACACTAACCGCTCTCGTGCACGACAAGCGTGACGGTGGTGTTATCGATGTTGACAATCGACGAGGATCCATGCTCAGAGCACTCGTACTCGAGCGTGGAACATGAGCGAAAAACGGTTAGTGGGCAAATCGAATCCCCCGAGCCACCCTTGTGTCAGAATATTATCTTATGTTCTAGCCTGTAGTGGGGTGCTCTATAGTGAGTACAACCCTTCTAGGGTTTGCTATTTGTATCCTCATTCTTGCTAGTTCAATCCTCTTTCTTTCTTCTAACTTTGTCACCTTGCACACCCTGCCAGAGTTGTGCACCGGATCCTTGATTTCTGCTACAAGGGACGCTATCTTGTCTTCCTTTGTTGTCATCACAAGAGTGACCACATGACTCATCCTGAATGTAGAGAACAAAAATATTACTAACGAATGTTTTGTCTAGAAAATTGAAATGCACTAGTATGTTTACTTACAGAGTCACGAGGCCGACGTCTTGTGGCTCCTCGGTGACTGGCGCATCTGTGATCTCCAATGCTCGTCGATCGTCAAGAATGATAGCACTCGATAGCATTGTTGTCTTGAACAATGCTGACTTGAGATACACTTCGCTAATGTAAACTGGCACGTCTATAGCATCGTCATGTTCGTCCAGGTATGTCTTACAGCACTCATGGATCTGTGCGGCAGCATCCCCCAGACATACCAAGACGCTCCGAAGCGACGAATCGTGGATGACAGCCGTGAGCTTAGGCAGACCACCCGGCATCTCAAATGACGAGATCTTCAGCGTGACGGAAAGGCAAGGGATCTGATAAAAACAAAGTGAGGGAAAAAACATTCTGAATAGGAAACACAGGATTTAATTATCAACATTAGATCAATGAAACAAAACTAGTAGAAGTTGTCGGAACATTATAGCTGATGCATGTTTGTAGGCTATAGTGGGGTAGCCCATATGGGGTACAGGTTGCTAGGGTTTGCTATTTGTACCAATTTCTGACTTAGTCATTCCACTCCTATTCATTCATTTCACATGGTATAGAGCGGGTTCCCTGTGGGAACTTCGCCTAGGGCCCACCGAAGCGCGCCCTTAGGCGCGCGATCCTTTTTTTTAGCGACCCCCCCGAGTCGCCCTTCCCCTGCGGCCCCGCCGCCCTTCATTCGCGGCCCCGCCGTCCAGTCGCGGCCCCGCCTTTAAGGCACGGCCACCGCCGCCTGCTCAGCTGCGGCCCCGCCGCCCTCTACGACGCGGCCGCCGCCGCCTGCTCAGCCGCGGCCCCGCCGCCCTCTACGACGCGGCCGCCGCCGCCTGCTCAGCCGCGGCCCCGCCGCCCTCTACGACGCGGCCGCCGCCGCCTGCTCAGCTGCGGCCCTGCCGCCCTCTACGACGCGGCCGCCGCCGCTGCACCCTGCGGCCCCGCCGCTGCACCTGTCCCGGCCCCGCCGCTGCACCTGTCCCGGCCCGCCGCCGCTGCACCTGTCCCGGCCCCGCCGCTGCACCTGTCCTGGCCCGCCGCTGCACCTGTCCCGGCCCCGCCGCTGCACCTGTCCCGGCCCCGCCGCTGCACCTGTCCCGGCCCGCCGCTGCACCTGTCCCGGCCCCGCCGCTGCACCTGTCCCGGCCCCGCCGCTGCACCTGTCCCGGCCCGTCGCCGCTGCACCTGTCCTGGCTCGCCGCTGCACCTGTCCCGGCCCCGCCACTGCACCCTGCGGCCCCGCCGCTGCACTTGTCCCGGCCCCGCCACTCCGCTACAGCCGCCCCGCCCGGCAGCAGCCGAGCCGCCCAGCAGCAGCCGAGCCGCCCAGCAGCAGCCGAGCCGCCCAGCAGCAGCCGAGCCGCCCAGCAGCAACCGAGCCGCCCAGCAGCAGCCGAGCCGCCCAGCAGCAGCCGAGCCGCCCGGTACCCGAGCCGCCCGAGCTGCCCGAGCCGCGCGAGCCGCCCTAGCCGCCCGAGCAGCCCGAGCCGCCTGCTACTGACCTACCCGACTCTCCCACCCCGGTGAGACTTTCAGCTGCTACCATGGCCACCCCCAATGTTCTCACTTTTGACGCTGAGGGGAGGGCCATTGACTTTGCCGTCTGGATCGAGGACCTGCAGCTGTACTTACTGTGTGATGCGGTAGATGAGGTCTCCCTCTTTGACTTTGTCTCTGGCGCTGTCCCTGCCCCACCTGCTGATGCTGACTCTGCCGTTCGCTCCAAGTGGGCGACCCGCGATGCTGCTGCACGTCTTGCTGTGCGTCGCCACCTCCCTTCCTCTGAGCGTGCCCACTTTAGTCAGTGCAAGACCGCTCAGGCCTTGTACGACGCTGTAGTTGCGCGCTACTCCTCCCCTTCCTCCGCTACCCTTAGCCGCCTCATGCTACCGTTTCTCTTCCCTGACCTCGCTTCCTTTCCCACTGTTGCTGACCTCGTTACCCACCTTCGCGCTAGTGACACCCGCTACCGCGCTGCCCTTCCTGCTGAGTTCCGCGCTGCGAACCCTCCTCCCGTGTACATCACTCTCTACTTTCTCGT